CGGAGCAAACTACGTCTTCCATACCTCCTCGCATTTCTGTTATCCTGATAGCAAATTTTGTCCACTGAGTTAGGGTGCTTTGATCAGAGTTTTGAACAATTTTCAGCGACTAAACCCTTTGGATTAGGATCGCAGAGACAGCCAGAGGTATTTAAACCGGTAATTTGAGTTTCCCGCCTTTTTTAGTATCCGGGGCAAACTACGTCTTACATACCTCCTCGCGTTTCTGTTATCCTGATAGCAAATTTTGTCCACTGAGTTAGGATGCTTTGAGCAGAGTTCTGACCTGATGAACAATTTTCAGCGACTAAACCCTTTGGATTAGGATCGCAGAGACAGCAAGAGGTATTTAAACCGGTAATTTGAATTTCCCGCATTTTTAGTATGCGAAGCAAACTATGTCTTCCATACCTCCTCGCGTTTCTGTTATCCTGATAGGAAATTTTGTCCACATAGTTAGGTTGCTTTTAGCAGAGTTGTGAAGTGATGAACAATTGTCAGCGATAAAACCCCTTGTATCAGGATCGCAGAGGCAGCGAGGGGTATTTTTACCGGTAATTTGAATTTCCCGCCTGTTTTAGTATCAGGGTCGCAGAGACAGCGAGAGCATTTATATCGATAATTTGAATTTCCCGCCTTTTTTAGTATACGGAGCATACTACGTCTTCCATACCTCCTCGCGTTTCTGTGAGACAGCCAGAGGTATTTAAACCGGCAATTTGAAGTTCCCGCCTTTTTAGTAGTCGGAGCATACTACGTGTTCCATACCTCTTCTCTTTTCTGTTAGCCTGATAGCAAAATTTGTCCACACAGGTTGCTTTTAGCAGAGTTGCGAAGTGATGAACAATTCTCAGCGACTGAACCCTTTGTATCAGGATCGCAGAGACAGCGAGAGGTATTTATATCAGTAATTTGAATTTTCCGCCTTTTTTAGTATTCGGAGCAAACTACGTCTTCCATACCTCCTCGCATTTCTGTTATCCTGATAGCAAATTTTGTCCACTGAGTTAGGATGCTTTGATCAGAGTTTTGACGTGATGAACAATTTTCAGCGACTAAACCCTTTGGATTAGGATCGCAGAGACAGCCAGAGGTATTTAAACCGGTAATTTGAGTTTCCCGCCTTTTTTAGTATCCGGGGCAAACTACATCTTACATACCTCCTCGCGTTTCTGTTATCCTGATAGCAAATTTTGTCCACTGAGTTAGGATGCTTTGAGCAGAGTTCTGACCTGATGAACAATTTTCAGCGACTAAACCCTTTGGATTAGGATCGCAGAGACAGCCAGAGGTATTTAAACCGGTAATTTGAAGTTCCCGCCTTTTTAGTACTCTGAGCATACTACGTCTTCCATACCTCTTCGCGTTTCTGTTATCCTGATAGCATAATTTGTCCACATAGTTAGGTTGCTTTTAGCAGAGTTGTGAAGTGATGAACAATTGTCAGCGATAAAACCCCTTGTATCAGGATCGCAGAGGCAGCGAGGGGTATTTTTACCGGTAATTTGAATTTCCCGCCTGTTTTAGTATCAGGATCGCAGAGACAGCGAGAGCATTTATATCGATAATTTGAATTTCCCGCCTTTTTTAGTATACGGAGCATACTAAGTCTTCCATACCTCCTCGCGTTTCTGTTATCCGGATAGCAAATTTTCACCACGCAGTTAGAATGCTTTGAGCAGAGTTCTGACGTGATGAACAATTTTCACGACTGAACCCTTTGTATCAGGATCGCAGAGACAGCGAGAGGTATTTATATCAGTAATTTGAATTTCCCGCCTTTTTTAGTATTCGGAGCAAACTACGTCTTCCATACCTCCTCGCATTTCTGTTATCCTGATAGCAAATTTTGTCCACTGAGTTAGGTTGCTTTGATCAGAGTTCTGACGTGATGAACAGTGTTCAGCGACTAAACCCTTTGTATCGGGATGGCAGAGAAAGCGAGAGGTATATATATCGGTAATCTGAATTACCCGCCTTTTTTAGTATCCGGAGCATACTACGTCTTCCATACCTCCTCGCGTTTCTGTTATTCGGATAGCAAATTTTCACCACGCACTTAGAATGCTTTGAGCAGAGTTCTGACGTGATGAACAATTTTCAGCCACTGAAACCTTTTGATTAGGATTGCAGAGACAGCCAGAGGTATTTAAACCGGCAATTTGAAGTTCCCGCCTTTTTAGTAGTCGGAGCATACTACGTGTTCCATACCTCTTCACGTTTCTGTTATCCTGATAGCAAAATTTGTCCACATAGTTAGGTTGCTTTTAGCAGAGTTGTGAAGTGATGAACAATTGTCAGCGATAAAACCCCTTGTATCAGGATCGCAGAGGCAGCGAGGGGTATTTATACCGGTAATTTGAATTTCCCGCCTGTTTTAGTATCAGGATCGCAGAGACAGCGAGAGTATTTATATCGATAATTTGAATTTCCCGCCTTTTTTGTATACGGAGCATACTACGTCTTCCATACCTCCTCGCGTTTCGGTAATCAGGATGGCAAAATTTCACCACGCAGTTAGGACGGTTTGATCAGAGTTCTGACGTGATGAATAGTTTTCAGCGACTAGCCCCTTTGTATCAGGATCGCAGAGAAAGCGAGAGGTATTTATATCGGTAATTTGAATTACCCGCCTTTTTTAGTACCCGGAGCAAAGTACGACTTACATACCTCCTCGCGTTTCTGTTATCCTGATAGGAAATTTTATCCACTGAGTTAGGATGCTTTAACCAGAGTTCTGACGTGATGAACAATTTTCAGAGACTAAACCCTTTGGATTAGGATTGCAGAGACAGCCAGAGATATTTAAACCGGTAATTTGAATTTCCCGCATTTTTAGTATGCGAAGCAAACTATGTCTTCCATACCTCCTCGCGTTTCTGTTATCCTGATAGGAAATTTTGTCCACTGAGTTAGAATGCTTTAAGCAGAGTTCTGACGTGATGAACAATTTTCAGCGACTAAACCCTTTGGATTAGGATCGCAGAGACAGCCAGAGGTATTTAAAGTGGCAATTTGAAGTTCCCGCCTTTTTAGTAGGCGGAGCAAACTACGCCTTCCATACCTCCTCGCGTTTCTGTTATCCTGCTAGCAAATTTTGTCCAGTGAGTTAGGATACCTTTGATCAGAGTTCTGACGTGATGAACAGTTTTCAGCGACTAAACCATTTGTATCAGGATCGCAGAGAAGGCGAGAGGTATTTATATCGGTAATTTGAATTACCCGCCTTTTTTAGTATCCGGAGCAAACTACGACTTACATACCTCCTCGCGTTTCTGTTATCCTGATAGGAAATTTTATCCACTGAGTTAGGATGCTTTAACCAGAGTTCTGACGTGATGAACAATTTTCAGCGACTAAACCCTTTGGATTAGGATCGCAGAGACAGCCAGAGGTATTTAAACCGGTAATTTGAATTTCCCGCTTTTTTAGTATTCGGAGCATACTACGTGGTCCATACCTCTTCGCGTTTCTGTTATCCTGATAGCAAAATTTGTCCACACAGTTAGGTTGCTTTTAGCAGAGTTGTGAAGTGATGAACAATTCTCAGCGACAAAACCCTTTGTATTAGGATCGCAGAGACAGTGAGAGGTATTTATATCGGTAATTTGAATTTTCAGCCACTAAAAATTCTGTATTAGGATTGCAGACACATTAAGAGGTATTCATTTCCGAAACTAGAATTTCACAATTTTTGGAATAAGGAGCATACCATCTTCCCTACCTCCTCGCGTTTCTGCTATCTCGATAGCAAATTTTGTCCACGCAGTTATTAGACTTTGAGAAGAACTGTGGCCTGATAAACAATTTTCAGCCACTAAAAATTTCGTATCAGAATCGCAGAGATAACAAGATGAATTTATATTAGTAATTGCGTGTTCCACCCTTTTTGATAAATAATAGGAGCAGACTGCGTCTTCCATACCTCCACCCAATTTGAGAAGGAATTTATCTCGTCTTGACAGAAGTGGTGGAACGACAAAAACACAGATTTGTAGTGTCAACATAAGTTTATTTATCATCCAGTCTATACAATGCTTAATATATACATAAATAACAGGGCTAAGTTAAACCACTTAGTACGTCGCTTCACACAGTCTGACTGCGAATATTTCGTAATTACCAAACATTTTGTTCAAAATTTGCAAGTACTTACAGAACGTTCCCGAAATGCAGAGCATAGACTCACACACGGCTATGCTCAGTTTTATTCTATTCAAAACAGAAGTGCTTACGCATAAACTTAAAGTTATATATTATCAGTGAATCCAAGTGTTTTATTTTTTACGATGTATTAAGTGCAACATGAAGAATATCTCACAAAATTAGCTATTTTTGAAACAAAAACTTCATCATTCAGTTCAATGCACGATCAAAACGAGTAACCACATGTCTCTGGAATGCCTAAGATTTTTTATTTTCTACAGCATTTATCATATCACTCTAACGAAGCAGTTACCTTAAAGCACATCATACGGATTTAGCAATAAATATAATGTAACCGAACATCAGGAAAAATCAATAATGTGAGGTGTTCTTCATTGCAATGATAAAGAAGATTGGCAAAACTGATAGGATCTGAAGGTTCAATTCGCCAGCGAAAATTATTGTTTGTATTGTATTGTTTTCAACGTTTCATTCTGGTACGACTACATGTTTTGTAGCGACTTCGACAGACTTGACACACAGGAGTCACAGAAAAGATGTTAAATATTAATATCAAGAAAGAACGACCTTTTTCAATCTAAGGCCTCCTTATTGCCTTCGAGAGTCGTTGATTACAACGCTTCCTTATTTCATTATAATCTAAAATCCGTACTAAGCTCGATGTCCACCGATCTGACAACCGGATAAAAAGTGAAATAAAATATGTTGAAAACATTGTCGTGGGTTTCCTAAATTCTGAACAGAGTTGGACGAGGAATGAGATTTTTCGATTTTAGTTGAGCTGTGCATTTATTTTTTTATCTACTATATATGTGTGAGTTATTAGATAGAATTTAAAGTAATATTGTAGATTATTAAATTTATATAAAAGAAAATAAAGTAATCATTAAAACAGCTTTCGATCCAATAACGCGTAAATGTCAAATGATTCAATAGTTTTGTAAAATATCACCTTAACAACAAACTGTCAAAAAAATGCTACCATTTGAAACACATTGAAAATTATGATTCATACAAATTGTTTAATCATGCTTCCTCCAAATTATAAGTTAATCAAATTGATTGCCTTATCGATTCGATTGTCCATGTAAATGCTATTAAATGATATTCTAAAATTGATACATTTTGTAAGCAAATGAACCCGATTTGATTCAATAACACCGTCAGACATTAACCCAAATACTTAATGTTTTTGTTCTCAAGCTGTCTGTCAATAATAGATAACTTGACTCTTGATACAAAATTCAGTTTCGGCAACCAAAATATCACGTATACATACGTTGACCTTATTTGACATTTTGGATCATATCGCCAGTCGTTCCTACAATTAATTGTAGGACGTCTTTATGGTCTACTTGATTTTCAGTTTTTCCTTTTTTTTTTTGTTTGAACTTCAACTACCACGAAGGCCTAAGGCCTAAGCACCCATTGGGTACCGTGGGGCTATAGGGGGATACATGGGAAAGGGGGAACGCCACACGGACTCTGGCGAGGGAACACGTGTGCATGCAACATGCACACATTCTGGCTCCGCCTACGAGATCCGCCGGGTGGTACCTCCGCGTTCGACAGTCAGAGACCGTCTACCACCTACGGACAATCACAACATCCATAGCCAAGAGAAAAATTTCTCCTGGGACGGGACTCGAACCCGCACAGCGCACGGCGACCGATCAGGAGACCGAAGAGTCTATTACTGCGGCCACCGCTGCTGCCTGTCCTTCAGAAAGGCGCTGTATGTTACAAATATCTATTTACACCAAATTGTTCATGTGTTTGATTTTCATCATGTTTTAACAGCCTGAGCAATTCAAAAATACAACATAAATAAAAATATAAATCATAATTAGGAGGGCGCTGACGCTGACACGGAACAGTAGAAGTCTATAAATACCCTAGCCTTTCTGAAGGAGAGAAAATACTATGGAAATCAAGGCCATACAGCCATCCTACAATTGTAGGAACGACTGACGATACGGCCCTTAAGCCAATGATCAACAGAGACCAATAATTAGAGTTAGTAGTACATTATACAATATGAAGGCTTCAGATTGAAACTACCACGTTTGTCGTTGAACCTACAATCACATAATTGGCAACTCTCTAGCTAAGCAAATAAATGTAATTTACAATACTAATTGTCCTCCAAACAAATTGTCTGACTCCTGTTGTGTCACGCGTTGCAGGATGATCAATCAGGCATTCAATTTTCCAAATTTTTGTTAGCAAACCTTATCATCCAGATCCGTACCCTTTCAAAAACGGGGGTGTCGCCAATCTCCTTTCGAGTTACACTGATACTAACATTATCTAACTCTACACCAGATGGCAGAGCAGCGTGGTCAAAATAAAACAACTCGACGTCATCATCAGCATAAATTGTGATAAAAATAATAATCATCATACTTAAATACGAATTAAAGCAAGCACATCTCTAAGTTTAAGAGTATGTATTTATTTGGCACATACTCCTAGTGACCAAACAACCATCGTTGAAATGTAAGAAAATAAATAAAAATTGTGAAACAGCAAAAATAAATACATTGAAATTAAATTTCAGGGATTTTGAGTAACTCAAAGTAATTTCAGTTGTTTTTTCAATAAGGAACAAGGAATTTTACATAGCGCAAAAACCATAGTCACAGGTTCGACTAAACTTAACTAGCCCGATAAACAGATGGTTCAAATGTCAAAGGTCGTTAATGGAAAAAGTCATTAAACAAGATTTACCTATACAGGGTGACTTCGAAGTTGAGTCAACAGTGAGTAGATCTGATCAAAAGAAATGTTTTTTCCTTTAACATTTTTCTGGTAAAATTAAAGTAACAAAGTTATAGCCCTTTAGAAGTTTGAGTACCGCCCTGTCTCAATAATAATATTATTGCTCGTGTTTGGCGACAACGGATATAATCCGCATCGGTTCATCGCATCGGAAACAAAAAAGCGAAAGAATTTGAAACGCTTATCACGATGTTTTTAGTTGGATTCAGTCGGTAACGCGTGAATGAATAGTGGTGTTTGTTGCGTGGCTCAAACGAAATAAAAAATGGCACATGTTTACGAAAATGCTGACATGATTCTTATTTACGGAGGGGGAGTCTTTACAAAATCGGTTTCCCAATCGAGTGCAACCAACCCCTCGTGCCTTTGTTAATGTAGTACAAAGGGCTCGTGAATCAGGTGACTTAAGACCTCACAGGGGATGCCGGTGCTCCAAGACCGCACGATCAAATACAGGTCCTCACTGAAATACTTGTCGGGAGGATACTTACTATAAAACAAGGTAACATTTTTTTTATTTTTACACACATATTTTGGTTTATCTTCCTTCTACAATCACTATCTGAAAATTAATGACTCAACTTCAAAGTCACCCTGTATACAGGGTGCTGACGCAGATACGCATAATTCTACTTCAAAGGTACATTTGGAATAATTTTTACTGTGATCTCAGCAAAAAAATTCCATTGATAACGGTGAAGTGTACCACGATCGGAAACGGATTTAGCTCATCCGTACTGACAGGATGAACCATATTCGTGTCTCACATATTAGATCTTTAATAACTTTGACACTGCCATGATAAATCGGCTATAAAAGATCGCTGGAAGCAAGCGTTATCACAGTAGGTTATATGTATGACGGGAACACTACATCGAAATTAATTTCAACAGTCGAAATCCATTTGGAATCAGGGAGCTGGATTACTGTGTGGCGGTATGCTACCTTAGTTCAACGTATTTTCCTATTAACTAACGTTGATATAAGCTGCATTTGAACCAATGGTTTGTCTGGCTGGGTATCAAATTTGGGCCTAACACCGCTTTGCCTTACTGCCTTCTTATCTTGATTCTCTGATTATTTCATAATCTTTGAACCCATATTCAATTAAATAAAATACGTCAATAATAATTTTATATTATACAACATCTAGTACTACGTGTAAATTTATAAAAAGTGTTCTATCTGACCAACGTGCATTATTAAATAAGATAAACAGAAATAAGTCTGCCGCCAGATGCCGTAACAGGAACAGATACGTCCGTTAAAATACCTAACCTATAAAAAAATGAAAATTTGTTTAATCACAGCCGGAATGGCCAACGTATTACTAGTAGTCCTTTGTCCCAAATCCATCGACTGCCTAGCTTAGCGCGAAAGAATATCCAATATTCGAGTTATATCGAAATTTAGAACCCTGTGGAACGCAATCAGTGACAGCGACAGATTAGAAGTTCGAATGCAAAAAACGACAGCACTTTACAGCTTTATGTCAACGGCCATTTGTGTCAAATGGACACTGACGTTAAGTGTTTCAGACGCTGTAGTTTCCTGCACTCGTCTGTGTTATTTCTATGCAAGATTTTGATGTATTCAATTTCTGTCTTGTTTTATCCTTGTGAACTTTCTTGAAATCTCTTATGATATTTCTTAGGTGTGGTACTTGCATACACTTCGCGCTATTATATGATTTACCGATTTTCTTCTAAGTATTCAACATTTTTCAGTGGTCAATTCGAAAATAATTCATTATTTTAAACCTGTCAAATACGAGTATTCAGTACAGTGTAAGTGATTTTTTTTCAACCCCGTATCTCAGACAGCGCTAATATTCGTACAAAAGTAAACGTGGCAGAAAAAGGGTGGGATGAAATATAGCTTGAAATGGTCAAAATGATATAAAAATGCAAAATCAGCACTTTTTCGTGAAGCCTTGTAATATTTTTCGTTTATTGCAAACAAAATTAACTAAGCTATGTTTTTGTTTCGCTGATTAGCTAGACACAAAATGACAAAAGACAAAACACTTACAAAACAAAAAACAAACTAAATTTATCCCTTTCTCTCGAAATCAATTCTAGCCTGACACTCAAAGCCGCACGTGCCTTTTTTTTCGCTTTTTTTACAGTTTTCTAAATCCTGTTAACCTGATTACTTCATAATGTGTATAGAGATGATTGAAAAGATCGTTTTTAATTTAGTTTTGTCATACAATGCATTTTTTGTGCATTTTATTGTGGATCTTTTCTTCGATCATAACTTGTTAACGAATATTAATACAGCTCTGAAATTGCATATGGATATTCCACTTTTATGGATGAATGAAACAAGTGATTACTTCTATTCTTATCACGTTTTCATTTCGAAAACTCTTTGCTTTACTTGAAAACTCAACTTGCTGCGAGACGAGGCTTCAAGGAAATCAAAGATTTTTCGAAAAGGAAAAGTGATAAGAACTTCTTTCATTCGCCCATAAAAGAGGAATATTCACACACAATTTCAGAGCTGTGCGTACTTATATTTGTTAACAAGTTCCGATTGAAGAAAAAATGCACAAAAATGCATTTTTTGACAAAAAAAATGGAAACATTGTTTTTTAGTCATCTCTGTACGCACCATGAAATTATCAGAGGAAAAGGCGACTGCAATCAGGTAGTTGAAAAAAATCTAAAAAAGGAGTGCCACCTTGACTGCGTGTCCAAAAGTTAAGCAAAGCTAGAAAGGTGTGGCTAAAAATGCGTTTGATAATATAATTATTCTTTCTCTTTCTTCAAATCGATATTAAACGTAGGTGTTCAGTCTGGGGGAGGATTACTACAGAAAACATAAACTCATGATCGTTCAAAATAATGTCAAACAAAAATAAAATCTCAAGATAAAAAGCAATACAGTGGATTCTGTAAAGCATTTATGCTTCTAAGTTAGATTTTGGTCACTAGTTGTAGGCACACATAGCACAGTATACAGAAAACTGCACAACAAAGCAACTTCCTAACAAAAAGAAAAACGGGAGCTCACCACACGCTGAGAGAAGCGGTCTTAGACGTAAAAACGCGAAAACCCGGGTCCATTTATTGAATTTTTGAGATTCTCAAGCTCGGTTTTGTTGCACCAGATACACTTAAAGCTTGAGCAGAACTTCAACAGTCAGATGAAATCAAATAATTTCTATGCTTAAGGCGAATTTTCTAACCTAAGGTGTCAACTTGCCAGTTTGACATTTTTCATAATTTGACCGATTTGACATACTGACCGCTGTCCGCCATCTTCTTGGTAAAATAAGAAGTGTGGAAAGTTCATCAAAGCACTTCATTGAGTTCTAAAATGCTTGTGTGATGATATTTTGTTGCTAGTCATCAGAAACAACAACCATGAAGCATGATGCAGTTTACCGGATTGTCTGAATACCCTTTAGGGATGCGGATATGTGAGAATCTTTTTAAACAAATGAAGATGATCAACGGAAGTACCAGGTGATATATATTATATTTACAGCAGCAAATATAATGATGGTACCGGAAAGCAATCACTTCCAATCTAACAGAAATACATTTGATTATATCACTTGGTTTGACTTTTTATTCATATAACTTTGGGGTGAAAGAAAACAAACAACCAACTAATTTGTAGCTGGAGACGTAATTTCCCTAAAAAGTCAGAACTGAATTTAAGGTTGGCGTCAGCATTCAGATCACTTTTGCTAAGAGGTATATGATATGAAAGGGCGATCCAATCGGTCATCGCGGAATGCGTTTAAAATTACTTTAATTTTTTTCCAAAAAATAAAAATCGTATACATAGAAAAAGGAATTAAAAAAATAAAAACAAATGAACATCAAAAATTACACAAATTAATAGCTAAAATTTTTCAATACACATTTAATATTCCCAGCTAAATATTGCGAAAACTGTGCTTTATAGAAAAAAGTTTCTTAAGAAAGTTGGAGGTTTCGAGGTTGAAAAATGGTGGATGCTAATAACAAAGAACTTGACTACCAGCTCCAAGGTCATTTCAGGGTCCAGTGATTATTTTCAAATAGAACCCCCCTTTTTCACATCGGAATTGGAAATAGCTGCAAATTTTACGTTTGAAAATTACCTTGGCCATGACCGTCAAGGTCATTTTAAGGTCAAATTAGAACATCAAAAACAATTCGCTATAGCAAAAATAATCCAAGGCAAAGTTGTAAAGTTTTTGAGCATCACCAGAAACTGACTTTGACCATGGCCTTCAAGGTCAGATCAACATTTCCAAAGGAAACCTCTACTGGAAATAGAATGAGCAGCAATTTTACGTCCAAATGTGACGTTAACCTCAAATAATAATTAAGCTTGACATGACTTTCCCTTGCTCAAGGTCACTTTCTGAAGTAAAATATACAGCTTTTTCCATTCGAAGTATAAAAATGAGGGGTTTCGTTCCAAAATTTTGATTTGACCTTGAAGGTCATTGCAAAGGTCTACTTTGTCTGATCCCCACAAATCTCATAAATGTGCATTCAAATAGCAACTTGTTTTCGATGTCATGATTTGACCTTGAAGGCAATACTCAAGGTCATGACCAAGATGATTTTAGGACGTCAAATTTGCTCCTCGAGGAAAAAAGAGGAATTCCGTTCAAAAATATTCACTTGACCTTGAAGGTCGTAGTCAAGGTCATTATCAATGTCACTACCACTTTACAGCCTCAAACTTTTGTGTGAATCTTTTTCTAGAATGAGCAATGTTCGGAATATTTAAACACATTTCAGTAAAAATCTCAAAAACGCGTTCAGTGGACTTGGTTTCCGAGGTTTAACCTTAAGAGCACTTCACAGGTACCTGTATATTCTGAATAGCAAGATGGACGCCCATGCACCTCCAGGTTGTCGGAAGTTGCAATGCTGTGCATCTAACATATATGCTGTGTCGATAGCACATGATCGTGATAAGAGGGATGTTGGAGAAAAAGACAGCGCGCAGATAGGGATGGGAGAAAGGGACAAGGTGGTACTAATTGCTAGAGTTACATTACATCATAGACGAGTTGCTTTGAAACCTTGACCGGCTCAAGGATAGCTGTCGCTGGTGCTGCGATGGAGGGTCCTCGCTGTCGTTGGTCTCCATGGCGGTACCGCTCGAGCTGGCGCTTCCTCCGCTGCCGCTAGAGGGCGGTGTGTGCGGTGGTGGGAACAGCGTTCGCAGCATGCTGAGCGACAGAGGTGCTGGAAGGAGAAATAAAACCTTGAATACGAATGTCAAAGCATGTTGGTAGTAGATCAAAGATCAATAATTCGGACTTTTTCAGTACACGTTGGAGTTCGATTGTTTCTCACCAACATCCTTTCCAATCGACAGAATACAGCAGAGGCTCAATAATGTAAACTAATTTAATCCAAGTGTGGTTCACATTATCGAAATGTTTACATTAGCGAACGTGATTTATATATTTGATTTATTAAAAGAAACGTTTAATACATACTATTTATAACAAAATAAACAAATATTCTAACAGCGATAAGTATTTTTTTAATTAGAAGAAAAATAATTAACAATTTTTGTATGCGTAAATTTGCGCTTAGCATTGTCTTCCAATGCCTGCGCCCGTAATTTACGAATAACTAAAATATCCGTGTATGAAACTTCTTTTCTTTCAGCCCAATCTAAAGCTTGGTTAAAAACTTGTATAGCTTGCGCGTCAGTCACTACACTTCTGACTTCAATGGGATCGTTCTCATCATCCTCACTGTCCATATCCTCCTCCTTATCAGCATCATTCGTCTGCTTATCTTCGTTCCATAAATTAATATCAGCAGGAGTACAAACAATGTTGGGATTCACTGTTTTCAATAAATCAACAACATCCAATGACACACTAATAACATTATCATTATTGGATGGCAAACGTTCTCTAATTACGCTTAAGGGGACATCGTCTTCTTCATCATCTTCATTATTGGTACAAAAGATTGTTCCAACGTTTTTGAATAGTTTGCTGGTTAAGTTCATTCCAGGCCATATGTAAATCTAAAACAGCTTCTCATAATGTTACTTTTTTTAAAGCCTCAGATAAGTTTTCAGGATTCTTTGATAAGACAGACGAAAGTAGAAACTTCCTATAGTATAGTTTGGTGAGTCTTATTATATTCTGGTCCATCGGTTGAATTAACGGTGTTACGTTGGGCGGCATGTACATGACGAAAATTGACCCATCCCTGCTCCTCAGTTGTTGCTCGGGGGGATGACTTGGTGCATTATCCAATAGTAACAACGCTTTTATTGGAAGCTTCTGTTGTTTTAGGAAACCTTTTACCTACAAATTGAAAACACATCTTCAAATTATGAATAGAGCATTTGTGATAATTGATTGTCATACCTGAGGGACAAAGCACCTTTGGAACCATTTCAGGAAGATACTGCTAGTCATCCAAGCGGTTTTTGAACAGTCATAATCAACAGGGATATTAACATTTTTAAATGAGCGCGGATGTTTTGCTTTCCCAATTACCAGTGGCTTTATTTTGTGTGAACCATTAGCATTAGTGCAGGCTAGAAACATTATTCGTTGTTTCTCCGGCTTTCTTCCCGGGGCAGATTTTTCAAATGATGCAGCATAGGTTTTCTCTGGTAACATTTTCCAATAAAGGCCACTTTCATCTGCGTTGTAAATTTGTTCCATTCTTAAATCTAGCTCGGTAATTGTTTTCATCAATTTTTCTTTGAATGGTTGCACTAATTGTGGTTGTGCTGATAATTTTTCACCAGATATAGACAGCAGTCGAATTCCATATCTTGTTTTGAATCGTTGTAGCCAGCCATCACTAGCTACGAAATTTTCAGTTTCTTTCAGTTTTTCATTTAACAGTCTCGCTCTCTGTTTAAGTACTTCGCCACTGGGACATGATTTTCCCGTTGTTTTAAAAACCACTTATACAGGGAATTTTCCATTTTAGGTGCCTTCGCATTTTTTAAAGTTTTTCATTTTCCCGGACCTCCAAATTTATTGCACGTTCTTTGTAAAATTCGAGTTTTCATACGCTTAATTTTACAGATTGTTGCTTTCGATACTCCATATTTTTTTGATAACTTTCTCACTCAACTTTAAACACTTTCTTTTATAGGATGTGGATGCCATAGACGTAAAATATATTAACGCGTGCAATGTATTCACTTAAGTTCAAAAATGAAATACAGACGTACGTATAAACGTATCCTAAACGATCATACGACTGACCGAGTTACGAGTTTGTCGTATTTTATCGCAGAGGTGAATCCCCTACACTCTACATCATAAATCGGGGACTCCCCGACGCCCGACATAAATCATCGAGGCTTCAGCATTTTACCGTCGCGCTGTCCGTGCGCCGAGAGTTGTTTACGTTATCGAGCGTACACACTGTTTACGTTATCGCGCGTTCCGTTTGTGTTTACATTAGCGCAAGTTTTCATTATCCCGTGTTTAAGTTATCGAGCGTCTGCTGTACTTCAAAGTCACTGGAATTATTCTAGGAAGCGATTATTTGGTGACATAACTAGATTGAAAAGTGTTTCGTTATTACTCCACCACTTTTTACATGCGAGATCAAAGAATGATCTTAAGCGACGTATGATCTCATTAGGTTTTGATATCATTTATTACGTTATATTTACTCAAACGATTGATTAACGTATTCAATCTGAAGATACCCATTGCATTCTGGCGCTCGGAAAGGGATCTGAAAGATCTATGAGACAGTAGCAGAACACAAAGTTAATCTAAAAATGTAATCTGAAGTTTGTGTGTTTGGTTCTGGTACTATCTCATAGACTGCGCTAGGATCTTTCAAATCCCCTTTTGGACGCTAGAATATGGTATATGGTTGGCTATCTTCAGGTAGAATACATTAATCAATGCTAACGTAAATGTAAATCAGCGGTCATGTCATTTCTTAATAATTGCACTGATATCTGAAAGACATAGTGGAGAAGTGTGATGACATTAATTGACTGTTTTGCTTCTGCCAAGTCTTAAAAGCAGTTTTTTAATAACGTCCTGATTATACAAATATTCAACTCCCGCTACAAAAGATCCGTCATTCCTCACTTGTATGCACATATTTGGAAATACAAAGTTTATATCGCAAACTGACGTGATGAAGTTGACTGCATACAATTGGCATTGCAGTCAATAACTGCGATTTCTCGGTTCGGTAGTGGAAACAACCCTTTAGAAGATAAACAGGGAAAACGAATTTTGTTTGACGGCTTGAGGTCAATGTGTACGGGAGAGAAGTTGTGTATCAACACATGTTAGAAAGAGATAGAAGCCGGTTGAAGAGCGAAAGTCATCATCACATTGCCTAGCAACGGCAAGGCAGAAGGTCGTGCAATCTGCCGCATTGCCAATATCTTACACCAGAAAATGTTCGCACAGACTTCTACAATAGATTAGGTTACTGTCGGATCCAAGAAGGATATCCGTTCGAACAAATAATTCAATATTTTGATTAGAATTATTTAGCTTCGCTATTCATGAGGCTTCTATCTCTTTCTAACATATGTGTCTGTCTATACACACTTCTCTATCGTACTCAAGATGACATGTCGAAGAGAACCAAATTGACAATTTGTCATTGACAATTGATACTGATATCCTTTTGTCTAAAATTATCTCTGTCAGGTAAGTACTGCACTGTTATTTTCAATAAGTGCTCTGTAATTAACGTCATTTCAATCTAAGCATTCTGTCACATTCGATCCGATTTTACTAAAAAAACGCTTTTAATTGGTCATAGTTGATCCGGATCAAGTGAAAAACATGTTTACAGCTAAACCAGGTGATTTATAAAGAATTGATTTAATATGAGGATTGGAGACCCTTCTTGCACAAATCGTATATTTTTTTCGCTAGTTTGGCATATACTACAACACACCTTCTCAATAGACCATTTTGATCTCGCGGATCAATAGTAAAATCGGGCCTACAAGTTGTAATATCAATACCATTACTTCTATCTACAAAATTTCCAGCTCACCGCCAACTGCAGGCCCCCCGGCGGTTCCTTCTCCTTGCGATCCACCGCCACCTGCAGATCCTTCCGATCCGTCGCCACGTCTGTCATCCGAGTCCCCGTTGCTCAAGTTCTGCCTGCAAATGGGGCACGTGCCGTGCAACTCTAACCACGGCCTGATGCACGGCTCATGGTATACGTGCTGGCAGGGTAATCGCCTAACGCTCTCGCCTAAAACAAGAAAATATCTCATGAAATCATTGGTCACGTAGTTAACATATTCCACCAGGAGATACATCAAAGTCGAGCCTAAGCGAAAACAGGATTATGTACAAGGTTTGTCCGGAAAATACGTATAAAAAAAATCGGGGCGTCATGTCAAGGCGTTGTGGAGGGGTGGCCCGGTGGTTCCCTCTCTCTATGCAATCCCCTCTATGCTCAGTTCGAGCCGAAGCGCTATGCGAGTACAAAGGATTTACGTGTGCTTGTTGAAAGTAACCTTTTTTTACCTGCCGTTGTCAAGGAGCTCTCTCTGATCGAGGAACAGCGCATCAACACCAAGCTTCTTGCAAAGAATGGTCGTGAGATTTTTGAGTGTTTGGAACAAGTTTACTGAGACAATTCTCTGAAGGAAGCAACCCTCTACAAGTGGTTGAAAAGTTGTCGGGAAGGCCGAGAAGAAACCAAAGCTCAGGACACCCGTCCACATCGAGCTCTGAGGAAATGTTGAACGAATTCGTCCTTAAGGACCTGCGATTGACAGTTGGAATAATAGCTGGGGAACTGTCAATCAGCAAAACAATCCTTCACGAAATTCTGACAGAAAAACTCGAAAAAAATCGTTCCGAGGCTCTTGACTCCAGAACAGAAAACGAGGGTTACTTGCTGGTGAAAGGTGGGACTTTCTCAACCGCGTCATCACTGGAGGCGAGTATTGGTTCTACGAATTCGATTGGGAGCTGAAATCTCAAAGCATGGAGTGGAAGCAAGCGGGGCAAACGATAATAAAACAGTCGAAAAAATCAAGGTCCAATGTGAAAACAATGTTGATTGTTTTCTTTGATTCTCGGGGCATTGTTCACCAGAATTTTGTCCCTCCCGGCCCGACAGTGAACGGAAATTTCTACATTGAAGTTTTGCGACGTCTCAGAGCTCGTGTGTCCTGAGTTCGACTGGACTTGGCACAAGAGGCAAGTGGATCCTTCATCACTTCAACGCGTCTGCTCACACATTTCTCGTTGTGCGTGAGTTTTTGGCACGATGCTCAATCACCGTGACAGAAGACCCGCCTTATTCGCCCGATTAAGCCCCTTGCGACTTCTTCCTGTTCCCAAAATGCGAAATGGTGCTTCCGGGGCAGCATTTTGGGGGATGTGGAAGCGACCAAGGCAAAAACGAGACAGCAAATTAAGAGCCTCGCAATTGAAGAATTTCAGCGATCGTATCAACAGTGGAACCAGCGTTGGCAGAACTTCATCTTGGCTTATGGGGAGTACTTTGAAAGAGACCATATTGAAACATCTGAACAATTTTAAAATAAAGTTGTTATTCCACTTTTATACGTATTTTTCGTACAAACCCCGTATGTGAACGAATGAGTTCTTTTCTCCAATTTTTATTCGTTGCTGTTTTACCGCGCATTTTATTTCAGAAAAGGAAAACAAAACCCTCCCGATCAATGTATATGTAGAGCTAGGGTGTTGTTGTCTAGGGGTATGGGCTGAGTTCAGTAATCACAAGTGGTCACAGGTAACAAACAAGTAATTATATGTATGTACTGACTACAGGTAAATAATAGACAGGGTAGGTACAACCTACAATGTTCCCGGATCAGCATGACACAAAGTGCAACACGTCAGGTAAATTTTTTTTTTATATATCGAAGCAGCCGCGCAGGCAGAAGCCGGAACACCGCGGCTGCTATGATGATCCCAAAGAAACTTTGTTAATACGATTTTTGAACTGCCTAAAGTTAGAAGAACTGGGAAAAGCTTCCTCTTGCAGATTGTTCAACAATCTCGACACCCTCTGGACAAAGGAAGGACGAGGAAGTACAATTACTATACGTCTAAGGGAGTACACGTTTAAGTACTTCCCGTCTTGCCCAATCACGGGTCAGGGTTATTATCGACGAAGACGTCTAATCGTTTAAAAAAGCGTCTCAAATCGTCTAACACGTGCCCAGACAATTCTACTACGCCTAAATATGATCGTCATTGGCATCATGATAGGGTTATGGTGTTTCGCGTATACTAAAAATAGGTTATTACATATAGGGTGTTTCAAATTCGACCCTCACCATTGGGATCTCGGAAACGGTAAGATATACGAAGTCGCTTAAATGGGAGCAAAGTTGCGTATTTAGGTAGTCAACAAAATGCCGCTTAGAAAGTTTCGAATTGAAAGTACTTCTGGAGAGACGGAAAAACCAGAATTTAGTCAAAATCGTTTTAATTTTGTTTTGTATACCAGACCAGATCTCAAATTGAATATAGCAGCAGAGTTTGGAAGACTAGGAAGAAGAGAAATAAATCGAGCAGTGATCAATGTACAGACAAGAGTCAGGCTTTGCCTACCAAGTAAAGGACATTTTGAACATCTGCTATGATTTACCTCTAGTTATTCATGATTAGTACCATCCATTAAATCTTCATGTTGTGTTCCGGTTTCACCACACCTTTTTCCTTATAATTTTCATCCAAAAACAAATCCACGGTGAATTTAGGAAATACATCACTGCATTTAGGACTGAAATGTCCATTTAAATGTAAAAATTCCAGTATAGCAGCCATATGAAAAAAAGTTGGTGATGGAAGTTGGAAGAAAAAATTTCTAATTGTAAACTTGACTACTTGTAGAGGTGAATAAGTAGCAATGACAACATGGAATTTATTTTGAAATCATATTTTAAATAAAGTCAGGAAGAAATAAAACTCATATTGGGATACATTTTTTTTTCTGAAACAAATGACAATATGATAATTTCAAGGCCTACCTGGGAAATACTGTCTTTTTTTGAAGTCACTATGGTCTGGCAACGTTAATATTATGATGTATCATACATTTTTTAGATCAGAATTAAAAACTCTATTCATCTGTGCAAAAATCCATAAGTCCATACGAAAAATAAAGTTGAAGCTGGAGGACAACAGACGAAACGTCACATTGAAATTCTAATTATGCGATCTTGTAGAGGAGAAAAAGTGGCAATGTCAATGTGAAAGTTATTTTGAAATCCCACAAACAAATAAGGTTAGGAAAAAATTAAACGATTTTGGGAAAATTCGAAAGTACTTTGAATTTCGAAACTTTTTAAACGGCATTTTGTTGATTCAATAAAAACGCGGTTTTGTCCCCTTTTTAAGCGACTTCGCATCTCTTACAGTTTCCGAGATCCCAATAGTGAGGGACGAATTTGAAATACCCTGTATATGAGAACGACCAAATCGACCAAACGGTTTAATGAATAAATAGAGATGTTTTGAAAAATAAATATTTTAAAATTCTGATTATATTATTATATTATTGTGGAGTTGAAAACAAAATTATTCCGATAAGACAAAAGGCACAAGAGTTTTCCAAACGAGCTGACGAAACAGAATAAAACAAATTGTGGTTCAAAGTTTCCTCGCCTTTTCACACGTGGCCACATCTTATTGGAAAAAAATGTTAAGATGCATATTATCCAATTGGAGTCACAAAAAGCCCAGATAAGTGGCACAGATCAACGTGAACATTTACAGTTCTATAATCGCAATTTTCACGAAAAAATGAGAAAGACGACCCAAATCGGTTTGCACAATTGCAGCGATTTCTCGCTAGGCTACGCTTATGTGGTTGGAGGCCGTACCTTCAAAAATAGATGTAGTCTAATCATATTAGACAAAAATACCAATGGTTTCCGTAATAATTGTAAAGTCTGGTTTTATTGATGTAAGTTGTTCAAGGGGGTATTCGAAACATGGACGCATAAAATGGGTACATCGATTTTTATGGGGTATTCATGAGATCTGCAAAATGAGACACACGTTAAAATATCCGGCTAATAGCAAACAGGTTATGACCGAAAACCGAGACAAACTGAGGTTTTGACACTTGTTGGTAATGCGACGATGGTTCCTCGCAGATATTTGAAATTCTTCAAATTCGTAGATTCGTATTTCTAGATGACCAAAACAAAATTGGAGTAGATTGGCCAAGTAGTTTTTGAGAATTTCTAATTGTTTATCCCAAAACACCTTTCGGAATGGTTTGACTCATATCAGCAAGGTAAACACATGTATTTTGCTATTAAATGCTCTTTGAACGAACACTGTATATTGCTCAATAAAGCAGTAGTGATGGCCAGAAAACAGGTGTTTTGGGATAAACAATTGGAAATTCTCAAAGAACTACTTGACCGATATAATCAAATTTTGTTGCTGTTATTTAGATCTATGAATGCTAATGATTTGAAGGATTTCAAGTAGTTGCGTGTAATTATCGTCGCATTACTAACAAGTGCCAGAACCTGAATTTTGCCTCGTTTTTCGGCCATAACATTGGTCGGATCTTTTCACATGTTATCTCATTCTGTAGGTCTCATAAATACCTAAAAATCTTATTTGAAGAGTTTGTTTGTTCCTGTCAACACTTTCGATTGAGTCCCAAAATACGGGTGTTCCCATTCTTTTTTGTCGAATAAAAAGCTTTCCCACAAAAATTGGTGTACCCATTTTATGCGTCAATGTTTCAAATCCCCCCCTGGAACAACTTGCATCAATAATACTAGACTTTACAATTATTCCGCATACCAGGGGTAATTTCGTCTAATATGATTATAGACTAGTTACAAAAAAATGTTAAGATGCATATTATCCAATTGGATGACAAAAAACCCATATTAGTGGCAACATTTGCAACTCTACCATCGTAATTTTCATGAAAAAAATTAGAACGAACGTCCTAATTGGGTTTGCACAATGGCAGGCAGCGACGCGGTTGGAGGCGATACTTTCAACAGTGGATCATAGCTGCTTTCCAGTGGTTTTTGGTTTGAGAGTGATTCGCTCCTGAACTGCTCCCGAAACAATGCATGAGAATAGAATATGCAATAGAACGGTATTGGTGCCGAGCACTGAGTTATTCAGAGAAACTCAACAGGGTCACTGGAAAGCAGCTTAGAAAAGACAGAAAGGTAACATTTTTTTTCACGCTTTGAGACCTATCGACGTGAACAGATGATCGGCAATTGACATCTTTGTCAATTTATAACCTTAGATATGAGCTCCATCCTAACTAGCGCCATCTGCTTCTAGCTTTTCAGATTACTCCTCATTCTGGTGGGTCTTTTCGACGCAAAAGGTTCCATAAACCAAATCGTCGGATCTCTAGAAGACATGTGAACAATGCAAAATGTTATCTCGAACATTGAAAAAATGAGCTTAAAAAATCCCGCAGTATACCTATCGCGACCTCCTTTAACATTTTTAATTGATAAACCAATCTACGGTAACCTGTACAGAATATATGGATCCTCCGCCTAGTAGCATTGACCCTGGTTCGTCGAAATGCAGAGTCTCTCTGAAATATGAAACAGCAATTTACCTGTTAAAAAGTCTTCCCAGCACACACTGCATTGCAATTTCGCTATAGACTGTTCTAAGGTGATCTCTACTATGGGGAGGGCATCTATTACAGCTTTCGAAACTGGTGGTGGACCTGTAACCAAAGATAATTCAAATAACCTTCAAATTCCACCATAATAATGGAAAGTAAGTATCTGTTACGGTATTATACTCGGGAAACTAAAATGAAGAGAGCAACAAAACTTATTTTCTCTGTGATCTTACCTTATTTCTAGTGCTAGAAATGAAAAGAATGAGACAATTGCAAGACCTTGAAAGCATTATAAAATTTGGCATATTCACAATTTAATTTGTTTGAAAACTGATTTATACCTGATCACCCACCTGTGCTATCCATCTGATTGAGCAGCTGTGTGACAATAGCATCCAAACCTTCCCTACCCCAGGCATAGTCACCAGGGTTGCCTAGAAACAGTTGCCAATTACCTCCCGGGGTTCCCCAGTTCACGCCAACTCCCAAATTTACTATAAAGTCTTGCAGTAGGTTTTCCAAGGGCAACTGCTGTCGTAAATTTGAAGAGGCTAATCGTGTTAGGGTCCTGGAACACAAACATATTGACATACATTAATCAAAATGACCATTTTAGTAGAATAGTGAACAAGTTTCAAGTGATAATTAGTATTTATGAGTTACTAGAATTATCCGAACAAATGTCCGATCAAATGTTCAAAGACATATTCAAATGGTATTACTGCTATATTAGTATTTGCTAGAGCATTGGTTAATATATTCTACCTAAGATAGCCAACCTAATCCTGTATTGTCGCGTCTAAAAAATTATCCGAGATAAAATGAGAGACTGTAGCGTCATCTAAGAGAATTTGTCACTCACCTTTTCAGAGTATATGCATTTAGTGAATAAAGTAACAGCTGTGACAAATTCTCATAGATGTGTAACTGTAGCATTAAGTTGGTTACATTCAGGTAGAATATGTCAATCAATGGCTAGACATAATATGCAGATGATATGCCCCACTACTGTCTAATTAGTACCCCCAAGCTACAAGACCTTATTACACCTCCTCAAAGATCAAAAGTAGTAGAACAATTTTCTTGTTCTAAAATTTTTTAATACGAGACAAATTAATAAATCTAAAATAATAAGTAGCATGGCAGAACATGCTTTTGAGATGGTCTAATCATATCATGTTTTCTGCTACAACCCACTGGGAGGTAATAAAAAAATTCCTTAACAAATACGAGTTTGGGCATATCTGTAATGATAGTGTAGCTGAATAATTCTTACCTTGTGTACTATTGAGTCACATAGTGAATATTATATTACTTATATGTTTTGTATACAATAATCAGTATAGGTGATTTTATCCACAGATGAAATGAGCGAATTCTCCAATGACAAGGTTAGTTATGTTAGTTGAGATAGAGACAGGCATGCAGCATGCAGTATACAGGCGAAGTAATGGATAAAATGAATCTGTCAGACCTGGGCCTTACTATCCTTGCTCGAGTATTAGCGTACCTTCTGCCAGGACGACTCCCATCAGATCTCAATGGACGACTACCTGGACGTCTATCTTCTACTAACTGCATATGAAAAAATAAACCATTATAAATATGTGGCAATGTGAAACAGGAAAGCAGTTTTGATAAACAGAAGATACTTCAACCCAACTTGTGCTGTAAGAAGACCAACACAAATATTTCAGTAAACCCGAGATAAAAATTGCTCAAGGTCGCAAGTCTTTTTTTTCGCTTTTTTTCAACTACCTGTTTCTGTTAAAAATGTATTTTTTGTTATCGCTTTTTTCAATTGTAACTGATTAACAAATAGTACAGCTCTGAAATGAATGAATGAAACAGGGTGATTACTTTTATTTTTATGACTTTTTCTCTTTGAAAGATCTTCGATTTTGCAGCAAATTGAACTAGAGACAATGATTATGGATTTATAAAAAAAGAAGCAATTCTCAAAACTGTACATCAATATTACATGATTTAATTAAGTAACATGTACATTTTTAAGACATAAAACTGTTAAACAGTCCAATTCGATAATTACATTATTTGTTATCAATCATTCTGGTATTTAATATAATATAACTTGTATATGAAAAAAAATATGGACAACAAACATCAAATCATAGCAAAATGATATCTTGAGTTTAGCTTGATAAAATAATACTGCACATTCCTAAAGATTTTGAGAACAATGAAGCTGATAACAGTGTTCTAGATAATTCTATGTATGTAATCGGATTTTTTATCAGAAAAATGTTTATCCCAAGGAAGTTTCAACTATATGAGATCTATAATATATGAGAATAAGCAAATTGATAGGTCACTCTAATATCTACTTTTCATTACGAGTTAACATTCATTCACATTAATCAATAAATTTAAATAATACAGGGTTTGTCCGGAAAGTAACAGGACTCATTTTCTTTCCGCCATGACTGTATCGGTAGAGGGCGTTCCTAGCTAACGAATGCGCGGGTCAGTTGTCTCCGAGCACTTGGAGAGTCAGGACAGGCATTTTCGCGCGACGTGTTTCTGTGAGTGGTGCAAGCCTAAAATGCAGCGCGTTCGTTAGCAGAGGTACGCGATTAAATTCTGTGTGAAACTCGGTAAATCTGCGACAGAGACGTTAATATGATCAAGCAGGCTTACCCAGGTGTTGCTTTAGCAAGAAGTGGTGTGTTTCGGTGGCACCAGGCCTTTTTGGAGGGCCGGGAAGAGGTCGCTGATGAAGACCGTGCTGGAAGACCTTCGACTTCGACAACCGATAATGTGACTCGTGTGCGCAAAGTTTTGAACTCAGACCGTCGACTAAGTATTCGTTTAATTGCCAGATGTTAAAATTACAAAATCTGTGGTTCATGACATTGTGACACAGCATTTGAACATGCGCAAGGTGTGCGCGAAGATGGTCTAAAAGTGCTCACTGACGACCAGAAATTGCGGCGAGTGGAAGTGTGCCAAGAAAATTTGAACATGTGTGAAAGTGACCCCAATTTTTGAATAACGTAATCACAGGTGACGAGTCGTGGATCTTCGATATGATTCCGAGACAAAGAGGCAATCTTCCGATTGGCACACGAGGCGGTGTCTCCTCCCCCAAAAAGGGAAGAATGAGCAAATCCAAAGTGAAACGATGCTCATTGTCTTTTTTGACATCAAAGGCATCGTCCACCATGAATTTGTTCCTCCTGTAGAAAACCGTCAACGCCAAGTTTTACGTGGAAGTACTCAGGAGACTCAAACGAAGGGTCAGTGAAGAATACTTCGAAAAACAATAAAGTCATTTAAAACTACTACCGTGTTGTTTTTTTCCATATGCAAAACTTAAAAGACATCCTTGTACACTGTAACAATTTACATTGGCTGATTGGACTCATTGTCGTATTCTGATGAATACAATCATTGTCAAACTAGTGGCAGCAGAAGTTTTATATTAGAAAATTTGACCCATACTTGCATATCATGTCTATTATACTATCACATTTTTAAGATATACGAGCCCCTTCCCACTTGAGATTTGTACCAAATATGCCTTTATAAACTAAACATGATGAAACCATTACTACTTCTAAAACAATTTATTTTCTCAAAAACATTTTAGATACACTCCAGTCGTAAAAAATACATATTTGAAATCACTTAGACCTATAACTAATAGAACATTGAACAAATAAACAATGTGCGAATAAATGCGCGAAGTTAACAAAGCAACAATTGAAAGATTACCATTGGGTAACATCAGCTTTATTTTTTATTACGGCGCATAGTGTTTACCAAGTTTTGACAAAAATTTGGTGTAAAACAATCCCATATTTCTTGAAGCTTTGTCTCAGTTCGGTGATTGTACGAGCAGGATGTTGTCGTAGAACCTTTTCATCTCGTGCCACAAAGTTTCAATAGGTGACAGATCTGGACTGCTAGAAACCCATTTCAAAAGTGGTACATTATTTTCTTCTATCCATTTTATAGCCTTTTTTGAGGTATGGCACGCTGCACCACTTGCTAAACACAAAATCTTGGCCATGTCAAACATTCTTCCATCACTGGTAAAAGCGATTCTCTAAAATTGCCAAATATTTGTTTGTATCCACATTTCCATCAATAAATGAAGTTTTCCTACTCCTTTTGATGACATACTGCCCCAGACCATAATGGATGCTGGAAATTTCACTTTTCTCTTCAGACAGTCAACATGGAATGTTTAATTTTTTTTGAATAACTCTACTGCGACTGTCACCAGCACAAACTTCGAATCGGGCCATCACTCCATTATTTGCAACCATTGTTGAGGTGTCCATTGTCTAGTTCTTTAGCCCATCTAAGCCGATTTTTCTTTTGCAGTGGAGTTAATAGTGGCTTTTCTTTGGCCTATAAACAAGTTGTGCAACTTTAGGGTTTTTACTTCACTTTTTTTTATAAAAAAACTTACCTTGCAAGTGCTAAATCCCAGTGTGGCCTCTCTATGAGTTGTGGACCTCGAAATTCTCCTTCCACAGAGCATCCACAGAGCACTTAATTGTAAATAATTGGCACGCCTGTTTTTCACGATTATTCTTCTTAATGCTCTTCTCGCGCATTTGTGATATTACTTTTTTCACATATCGTGGCTTAATATTAACTGACCAGTTACGTTATATCTTCTAACAATATTTCTCACACTGTACCGGATAAGTCTAACAAAGTTCAATTTCTGAGTTTGATTTCCCAGAATTAAAAAATTAATTATCAGTAACCGAATTTTCTCACTAATAACCTTTCCTCTACCCATTTTGAAAACCTTAACTACCCAAAACTATTTTAAACGTATTCTGACAGCTGTGATTAATAAAAACAATTGTCATGGCTTTTATTTTTCACAGCCTATACTTATAGACTTATTTTGCATTGAAATGAAAATAGGTTGATATGCTGTAATTGCAACATGTGTTATTTTTATGCTGCAAATTTGATTAGGGAGTGATAAAGTTGGTGTTTTCTACAATATATTATCAAAATATTCATGTTAATATTTTAAACCTTTTGTCCTCTTCAATTATTAATTAAACTGTCTACAGGTAGTCAGATAACTTAATTCAAAATCAGTAGCTTCAATAATAAGTAAATATATAATATAAACCTTTTGTTACTTTAATCACTTGATCAACAAAAGAATGCAGCTATTATAATTATATTGAAATGTATACTTTTTTAATAACTATTCCATAATTGACACTGAATAAAATTTGAGACAACTAGTAACTACTTCGTCATCGACACATTGAATAAAATTTGAGACAATTTACAAACAATACATTTGCGTTAATACACTTTAATAAACAAACTTTCAGATATGATGTGAACTTATTGCGCCGCAAATTGCACCAAACAAAACCTAGGAAGTTCAATTATGAGCAATACTTTTCGAAATACAAACAGAAATAAGTTCAATAAGTTGCAAAAGGTTGGCAGAATTGGAAACTGCGATTGTCCACTCACCCAATCGTCTTCTTCCCAATCATCGACGTCTGCCATCTCTTCGTTGCCCTCTGGGGCCTCCAAGAGCTCCTCGATGAAGCCATCCGAGCAGTGGGGACAAGTGAAGTCCTGCAAAATAGACCGTGTAAAAAACGAATTCGGATTCGAAATGTATGAGCAATGATCTACAACTTACCGCCGAGGCATGCTGAAACTGAACGTGGCACATGTGGCAATAGAACCTCTGTGGAGGTCTGTCTTCTACCGCTGCTTCTGCCATCCTACCCACTAATTTCTTACAACTAGTTACTGGTAATTTATGGGGATTAATCTACAAAAACAATGTCAAAGAATCCACTTCAACCACCATACTTTTATCGGTAAGAATAACAAATGAAAGTTGTGTCATCAGTCATCCGCACGAAGCACAGAACACAACGTTCAGAACATAGAGAAGTTAGATGTCAAATCACGGGAAACGAGTAATAGTATGCGCCATCTTGGTCTTAGCGATGCGGATGCTTACGAGGAAATGTTCCCTTGGGCGAAAATTGCAAACAGCTCCACACTGTCTGGCCATAGTCGTATTGTAGGCATTAGATTTTTTCACATGAAGGCGATTTACAAACCTCACCCCAGAAAGTAGCTCTCATATGAAAGTTGACGAGAATTTGTAAATCTGGATCTTCTGACTTCGAATAAAGATCCGTAATTATGCATCGCTCTGATCAATCAACAAGGGGTTTACTGTTTACATAGCAAATAGGTACTTTCAAGCTTTAGCGTTATTTAATGTGTAAAGAAATTGAAAATGGTACAAGACTACCCAAAACGGTGAGTTGCAATCTCTCTTCTTTCGTTCTGTGACTGTTGGCAACCAGTCTTACATCAACCAATTATTATAGTCCAGTGACATTGGTCGTGATGTACTTGTTTGAAATAAGTGTTTCATGGAAAGTAGAAATGTTAGATTTGAGAATGCTCTAAAGAAAAGCCGATAAGCGTAGAAAACATCTATTTATTATCATTACTATTATAAGAAAATATCAGTTCATCAACATACTAACAATATTTAAAAAAAATCATGAATCGCAACATTACATACATTCAATATAATCATGAACAAACATACACAGGATGTTTCTATATATTCACCTTTTAATAGAGCTGGGAACAACGTTTTTTATTTCTCAATTTGTGATAGATGAATCAACAAGTGGACATAACCTCACAATATACATTTACATTGAAAAAATGTCTGGTCAAAATATAAGGAGACTCCCTCTGTATAAGTCTACAAGGTGTCCACAGTTAGTAAAAAACATTTCGATATTTAGCCAACAGACTTCTCTATTAATTTGAAAAACTGAATATTTTGGAAGACATTTTTATATACAACACAAATATGGTTTGATTATAAGTTTATACAGGATTTCTTTAGAATATATTGATGACTTCACATCAACACGAAGGTCATTTTTACATTATTATACAAATTACAAATTTGTAAGACCTGCTGGTCGAATATTATTTTGAGCAACTGTGGACACATTTGATTTTGACTGAGTGAGTATTAGGATACTCGGCTGTCAAGACTCGGTCGAAGTTGAAGGCTCCTTCCACCCAGAAGTTGGGCCTCTCTAGCATGCTCTTCCAGAGACTTAGTTCTTTCCCAGAGGCGTCCATCCAATCTACGTGTTTGCCATAGTGTTTGCCTGAAGGTTAAAATTAACATTAAAAATATTACCCTCAAAAGAAAATGGTTTGAATAAAAAAAAAACATCTTCCAACCCAAGGTTCGTAGAAATTGGCACTGCCCATCGATAAATCAATGGTCATGACCTCCGATTTTGGATTTTTTATTTTATGGGGCAGCAATGTTTAAAATAAATCAGAATTAAAAGCTATTCGTCTATGAAAAAATGACATACGTACTTAAGAAAAACCAAAAGTTGAGACGGCGTAAGAGACGAAAAACCATATTAATATTCTATTTATGCCACCTTGCAGAGATCAAAAAGTGGCAGTGTCAATGTGCAATTTATTTTGAAATCCTATCTGAAATAAATTCGGCAAAAAATAGAAACGATTTTGACAAATTCGTACCGTTTTCTGTGTATCTCTGGAGATATACAAATATACAAACATAGCCAACAAATAATCTCCTCCAATCATCATATCAAGTGAGTAATAAATTTTTCTAAAGCATCCCAGAGGCGAGGAGACAAGTGAGGAATCTCACCTTACTTGACAAATAGAGATTACGTATATGAGAAGGGTGGCCTAAGGAAAGCTTCTTTATATCTATAAGTTCGTTATTGCCATAGGGACGTGATATTTTTCGGTTTTCAAATCCTATTTATAAATAAACGGCTCGGTTTTCCAGTACAGTATGCGGTGTCTGGGTTGGATACTGACACTCATTTTTCATGTAATCCTTTGGTGGAAGCAGGACCACATTTAATATCGCAGATTTTTCTGGCCCTAATATACTATCGTGGTTTCGTTATTAGGCATAGTTGCTTATTTTTACAAGAACTATCCGGCGTGGAAAGGTAAATTACAACTTCAAGAAAATCCTATATAATTGATATATGCAGTCTCACCTGTTCCCAAAGAGAATCTGACTCCGCCCAAAAACTCATTGCTGCCCAATCTGTCATGGTCCCAAACTGTGAGTTCTAAACAACGTTCTGCTAACTCCTGTAACGTGACGTCATCATACACGAACGTGTGGTTCCATACAGGATTCACCGTCCTACGAGCCATTGGAGTTTTCTGCTTGGAGCTTCGACCTTTGTCAGGCAGCAGGTAACTGAAAGAGCGACATAATAAAAAAACCTGTAGTTGTATATTTTATTATAGACTTGGAAGGCTGAGGGCCGTATTGTCAGTCGTTCCTACAATTCTAGTACGTCTTTATGACTTCTTGATTTTCATAGTCTTTGCTCTCCTTCAGAAAGGCTGGGGTATTTCTAGATTTCTACTGTTCCGTGTCAGCCTCAGAGCTCTACTATTGTGTAGTTATGTTTTCTTTTTAAATTGTAGGAAATTCAAGGCTGTTAAAACGGAGGATATATATCAAAAGCATGAATAATTTGATGCAAATAGATAATGGAGACATAACCTCAAAATAGAGCGCTGACACGGAACAGTAGAAAACTATGAAAATCAAGGAGGCCATAAGGGCTGTATCGTCAGTTGTTCCTACAATTGTAGGATACGACTTTATGACCTCCTTGATTTTCAAAGCCTTTCCTCTCATTCAGAAAGGCTGGAATATCTCTAGATTTCTACTGTTTCGTGTCAGCGTCAGCGCTCTCCTGTTGTCAGGCTATATTTTCTTCTTGAATTGTAGGAAATTTAAGAATGAATAACAGATGATATAAATCAAAAGTATGAACAATATGATGCAAATAAATATTTGTAACTTAACCTCTAAATAGAGCACTGACACGGAAGAGTAGAAAACTATGGAAATCAAGGAGGCCATAAAAGTGCCCTACAATATTGTAGGAAGGAAATACAAATAAAGGTTGTCCCAACCAACAATTTGAGAAAATATCATGCTGTCTATATTTGTCAGGATGTAGAGGTATGGGAGTTATATTTTATAATTAACCTTAAAATGCCCCCTTCGCCGTTTCTGCAGTCACTCTTCCGGAAATTCAAGTCCGTGATATACGTTCATGTATCAGACTCCGAAAATTTATTAGGTTATCAAAAAGGCCAAAATTCTAACTAACAACATGTGCTTAGTGTGTGCTAAAGCTCTGAAGGTCTCCAAGTGCAATCATCGTTACCCGGAAGCGCCTGCCGAGTGAGGAAGGAATCTCTCAAGTAAGTGCCTTACTCTATCTGTCTCAGTATGGCTGCCAGGATTTTTCATATTTCCGCATAAAATAGAATCAGCGCCTCTATTGTCCAGCACTCGTTTTGTAACCGAATGTTTCAGGTGCATATTAAGGCCACGAAATGTCCATATATGGTAACGCTCGACAGCGCCGCCGTGAACTATGTAGAGTCAACAGGAAGCTTGGGGTTTGTGGCTAAAGGTAACTATGGGAGGACCGCAGGGCCATTGCTGTTGTACGATGAGGTTGTTCGATTTCATAAGTTGTCTGGAATTCACCTGATAGGGTATGTGACGACCTTGCGGTGATAATAGCTAACAAGCAGAGAGGTACACTAGAAAGGCTTTTGGAAGAGAACGGCTTGAAGTTAACTCCCCAGAAGACAGTGTTACAGTATCTTTTTATGCTCGACTAAAAATTAACTATATCTTAATTAAGTTAATTATTACAACGGTTCTCTTATTTAGAATAATAATTTTATAACAGTTCTTAAAAATATTGAATTATATTTTTATAACAAAACACTTCCCTTGGTCCAATAATTCTATGGTAGAAAATCGTACTTTACTCTCCATCTCGTTAAAGGTCATTTTTTATAATTTCGGACGACCGTAAATACGAGAGCTGAAGGTGCTTTGGTACTATTTCCGGTGCTCTGGTGTAGGAACTCAACGGCCCATAACCCATGGTAGAGATGAAATTTCATACCCAGTGCTGTTTTTTTCGGGTTGTGGAGATTTTGATATAAATCGACCTACGTTGGTTAATTTTGTTGTCGGAGCCATTTACTCATCCCCTTGGGGATTTAGCCGTTGTTACAGCTACACTAAGCCATCGAACTGAGAGGAAGTGTTTGCATCAATACTCCGACGCGACCCTTAAGTAGAACTCACGTCTGTGAGGAGCAGTCCCCCATTTCTGTGAACCCTCATTCTTTGTGGGTTCTACCTTCGGATCCTGATTTACATCTGGGACTTCCTACCCTTGGTTCGGAGCTTCCATTTGGGTAGCCTTTCCTTCGGGACGCTAAATAGCATAAATACCTTATCTTGTGTATGGGAATCAATCCCACCATTCTGTAATAGCCAAGCACCTACCAAGGTGATTTTTTTTAAATTTTAGTTCTTGCTGGAAACCATTTGGCTGGGAGGTAGTACAAACTAATTTCCTTGCTTGTCTCCCAGGACTTTTTTTAAATGTCTTTTTTTGTTTAATAAATGTTTGTTACTTGTTATTTCTTTTCTGGAACTAGGTGGCGCCCAAACCTCAACCATTTGTTTCAAAGACCAAAGTACGAGAACCACACTCTGACATCTCATTAACTACCAACTGAGCACAGTTACATTCTTTTACCAAATTACAGGTTAACCCTGCTTTAGGCGCGTGGGTACGTGTGACGTTGTTGGGCGCGTGGGGGACACGTGTGTCAACCTTAATAGACAGCAATGAAAAATACATACATACAAGTCAGATTCACTCATTTTTATTGATTAAATAGAGAAACAACATGGACGATGGCGCCACAATACCACGCAAATCAAATCCAATCAGCGCAGATGCAGGCGTGGTTGACTCCTGTCAGCCACTCGACTAACGCAGGGTTAATAAACACGGGATAACAATAGAAGCTGTTATACTTTCTGACAGATAGAAGCTCACTTCATAGGCAGTGAAGGTTGAGAACGCCGAGATTCGAAGCCCAAAGGATGCTAAGTACCTGGATCTGTGGCTCGACAAGGATCTTATAATGGCTCCGGAGCACCTTTTTCTAGTAAGGCTTTGAGAAAAAATATAGGCAACTAATGCTGAGAATCCAGCGAAAGGTGGTGTTGCGCGTGGTACACGTGTCAACGAATGTGGTGGCTGGCATACCGCCAATTGATTTGCTGGCTGAGGAGACATGGTACTCTGCCGTTGCGAAAAATTGAAAAGAGGCGAGACGATGTACTCAGCCATACTTATTTGAAATCTTGTTTGATTTTTGCGCATTTGTCGGCCGCATCACGTCGGACACCCTTGTCACGGGCCTTGTGTGCCTATAGGGTAAAGACGGAATATCCGCTCGAAATGAATATTTCCCGTTCTACCCTCACAATGTAATGAAAAAATGGACGCCTATTTATAGTAGAGCATTAGGAAAAAGAAATATAGGCAACTAATGCTGAGAAGCTGGTGTTCCGCGTGATATGCGCTTACAGGACGGTGTCGACTGATGCAACACTGGTGGTAGCTGTCATCCCGCCAGTTGATCTGCTATTAGACGAAAATACTCCTGGTTTGCCAAATAACTGTAAAGTCTGGTTTTATTTCTGCAAGTTGTTCAAGGGGGTATTCAAAACATGGACGCATAAAATGGGTAGACCAATTTTTGTGGGAATATTTTTATTCGACAACAAAGAATTTATCTTTCGGAATGGTTTGTGATTCATACCGGCAAGGTAAACACGTATGTTTTGCTATTAAATTCACTTTGAAGGAACTCTGTATATTGCTCAATAAGCTAGTAGTGATGGCCGAAAAACAATTGCTTACAATTAGAAATTTTCAAAAAACTGCTTGACCAATATACTCCAATTTTGTTGTTGTTAGTATGAATCCTACGGATTTGAAGAATTTCAAATAGTTGCGGGAAATTATCGTCATATTACCAACAAATGCCAAAACCTGCATTTTGCCCCGTTTTTCGGCCATAACATTTTTTATATTAGCCGAATCTTTTTACGTGTAGTCTCATTTTATAGGACTCATAAATACCTAAAAATCTTATATGAAAAGGTTTTTCGTTTCTGTCAACACATTCGATTAAATCCCCAAAAACACGTTTTCTCATTCTTTGTTGTCAAATAAAAAGTTTTCCCACAAAAATTGGTGTACCCATTTTGTGTGTCCATCTGTTTACATTTAATCCGAGGAAATGTGCTAATATATATATATATATATATATAACTTGAGACATGGTCATTGTCGTCTAGACCAGTTAGGTGAAAAATTAAAGCTTCCGCCTTTTGTTGGGTACTTCGACAAAATTTAAACAAGGAGGACTCTTTATACTTTTTTTATTCCCTCTAGCTTTCAATGGTCTTTGCCATCATCATCAGGAGCTGCAATTACATTGATAACAGTAGCAACAATAGTGTAAAATGAATTTAAATTAACTTACAGTTGTGAGGATGTTGCTAATTGTTGTTTACGTTAAGGATGAGGGAAACACCCAGTAACATGGTGAAAGCTGGATAAATGGTACATTGGTCAAAATTATATAAAATACACACAGCTGTATGACAAGAACAAGTTAAAAACAGATTAAAAAGTTTTTAGAAAATGAAAGTTAAGCATTACATCGTGAAGCCACTTGATGTTTGCACAACATGGTGGGCATATAATAATGAGTAAGATGAACCTTTTGACATATGGCCGAAGGTTAGCAGTGTCTGTGTATAATGATGGAACGAAAATTCGTTTTTGGGCGTGTGCTACGTTGCCAAATCACTTCAGATGGTGTGATTTTCAATATGTGTTGGGTAAGAAATTGTCAAACCGACCAGAGGCAGTTGAATTAACTATATTTCATTAGATGGGCAATTAAATTAACAGTTATTATTTAATTATGAGGAAAAAGTTATTAAATATATATATATATATATATATATATATATATAGAGTAAATTATCATGCGGAGAAAGGTATATATGCGGATTTTGCCCATTATTTTCCTATTTTTGTTATATACCTTTCTCCGCATGATAATTTACTCTTTGTAGATCCTTTGGGCTTGAAGTACCACGGCTATAACATAACCGGCCGCGTAGTTGTGGTTATTTGTCGCCTTGAAAATTCTAGGTCTTCTAGCCATTTGATACTACAATGTGTAGGTTGGCTCTTGTTGTGGACTTCGTGTGTCTTTTTTTTTCCTCTCCATCTTTGTTTCCTCAGGTTACACCCGTATCCGGATGTATAGGCATGTGTCTCTACTTTTGTAGTTGCATATGTGCATTCATTTCGGGCCTGATGAAGCCAACCAGCAGAAATACGTATCGCTCGGGTTACCTATCCTATTCTGCTCAAATCCACTTTTTGCGGATTTTGCCCATTATTTTCCTATTTTTGTTATATATATATATATATATATATATATATATATATATATATATATATGTTATTGAGAAAAATCGGAGAGCAAGAGACAATGTGCACAGTCATTTTTTATAATCTTGTTTGATCCTTGGACATTTGGGGGCCCCCATCAAGCTGGAGCTCTGGGCACGGGCCCTGCGTGCGCCGATATAATTTACCGTCATCATACCTTGATAAAAAAATGGAAGTGAACCTTTCTAGTGCGTTTGCAGGATTTATACGTTCCTCTGTATTAAAACGATCTGTGTTTAATCCCCTGCGTCTCCAGAATATAAAATATCTGAGAAAAGTCGTTGAAAATTGCGCCAAATGTAAATCCCGAAGTCCCATTATCAGTTAAGTTTACCAACCTTTTGCAGAAGGGATCAGAAGTGCCGTTGGCTTTGACTCCCGTTAGCGATTTGGCTTCTTTGACCAGAACATGTAAGGCTCCTCTAGACCTCTTCTTCTTGTGGCTTGTCATGTCTGGTGGAATAAACTTCAAACATACTATTATATCACCCTTGTACGACTGGACGTCTTCAAAAGGTTCCGTCTGAAAAAACAACATCTTGATATATTTTCAGGCTCCTAGCAGGATTTTTTTTTGTCTACCATCAATTCGCCTGTACCATTTCTCTATAAAGGTGTCGCAGTTTAGAGGGAATCTGAGTTCGAATCCTGCCGACAAAAGTTTTTTTTTCGTTTTTTTTTTGTGAATTGATGGCAACATTTCAATATTAATAATGATAGTTACTGTACCTACCCTTTCTTGTAACTGATACCACCTAGGAGTAGGATCATCGAAAACTTTATTTTCTAAAGTCATCATGACCTCTCCGAGGAAATCGTTTCTTCCGAACATGTCGGAATGCCAAACTGTCAACCATAACGTTCGCGTCTCTAACTCACTTAGGGATATGTGGAATTTCAGGCATTCGTGGAATATCTGCAATAAAACACGAGATAATGATCAAATACAGCAATTATCTGGTTTGAAAGTGTTTTCGGCTTTTTGGTAATCTTTGGGATTGGTCAAAATATAGTGCTTAAAAAGACATTATCTCGATATTTTCCACGCATTCATATGCAATAAATTTAAAATCCCGATAGGCTAGACTGGCGCTAGGCAGCAGCGGTGGCCGCAGTAGTAGACTCGTCGGTTTCCTGATCAGTCGCCGTGCGCTGTGCGGGTTCGAGTCCCGTCCCAGGAGAAATTTTTCTCTTGGCTATGGATGTCGTGATTGTCCGTAGGTGGTAGATGGTCTCTGACTGTCGAACGCGGAGGTACCACCCGGCGGTTCTCGTAGGCGGAGCCAGAATGTGTGCATGTTGCATGCACACGTGTTCCCTCGCCAGAGTTCGTGTGGCGTCCCCCCTTTCCCATGTATCCCCCTATAGCCCCACGGTACCCAATGGGTGCTTAGGCCTTAGGCCTTCGTGGTAGTTGGAATATACAGGGTTATCCAAATTAAGTGTCCACCATTAGTAACTTTGTTATTAGTGAAAATACAAAGTTGTTTGAATTAGCAAACTAGTAGCATTTTTAACGCTGGTAAAAATGAGAAATAAAAAAAAAACAATTGCGAGTCGTTATTTTGATTTTTTTCAGTAAAATAACATTTTTTTTAAATGGAAACCCCTGTATATTATATTTTTTTCTGTTAAAGCATCAAATTTTAAACGAAAAAGCTTACAATAACTTTTTTCCTAGGTTACAAATTGTTGAAGTTATGGCCTCCAATCTGAAACAATTAAATTGTATCGACAAACTTTATTTTCAACATCAACTTATAATCTTACAAAATACAATAACAATTTTTTTTAAAGAAGATGCTCGAAAACACCACCTTGTTCTTCAATACATTTTTGGGCACGTTTTTCAACTTCTCGAACTGTCTTAAGTATGGTCCTACCATCTATCTGGGTTATCTTTTCCCTAACTGCAGTCTTTAACGCGTCAAGGTTATCGTACCTTCGCTTGTAAATTTGGTTCTTTAAGTAACCCCACAAGAAGTAATCAAGTGGGTTTAGATCTGGTGATCTGGGAGGCCACTGTATTGGGCCATTTGTTCCTATCCACTGATCATTAAAAGTAGTACTTAGAAAATGATAAGTACCTCTGGAGTTGTGGGCAGGTGCGCCATCTTGCTGAAAATGCAGATGATGTCTACTTATAAGATCCAATTCGTCTAAGAAATTAGTCAGAATTTCTGACATAAATTCCACATATCTTTCACCAGTTAGGGTTCCCTCATAAAAGAACGGGCCAACAATTTTTGAACCAATTATACCGCACCAAACGTTGAAACTGAAACGGACTTGTGGGCCTCTTGGATGTACTAACAAAAGATTTTCTCTTGACCAATAATGGTGGTTTTTTCTATTAAACATTCCAGAATTTGAAAAATTTGATTCGTCTGTCCATAAAAGGTAACGAAAGTTATTTACATTTTGGCGACAGAAGCTAAGATACCAATGGCAAAAAACAAGTCTTCTCTCTGGATCCCCTGCCAAAAGCGTTTGAACTGGTCGGTACTTATACGGAATAAATTTGTATTTTTTTAAAATCCTTTGAACAGTACCATAACTAAAATTAGAGTCCTTGAGAATATCTGCTATTGAATTCTCACGATAAGCTTCAAAATATCCAATAACTGCAATTTCCGCGGCCTCGCTTATTATGAATTCTTTCTTTGCCCTTGTTTTAGCAAAAACATTTTCGTTGCCCCTAAATTTTCGATAAAGTCTCAGAAAATATCGTTCATACGGTTGAATGCGAGCGGGATATAATTCACTGTATCTCTTGCTCTCAAGGAGGATTTTCTGCACACTAAATAGCATTCTAACATATCACACTTTTCTTCATGGGAGAACATTTTTCTTTAAATTAATGACACAATAAAACTTATAAACAAGTATTTACACTAATGTTTGACATTATTTGATTTTATCATTGTTTTCCAAAGCCTTCTAGTTGCGAGTATGTCCAGTTTAACAATTTGTCGCTTATCTTAATGCTGTCAAATCGCGAACGCCATGTTGTTTTCATAGCCGTCTTAATATTATAATACTGCAAATAATTAAAAATATTTATCGTTATTTTGACTTTATTTTACTGAAAAAAATCAAAATAACGACTCTCAATTGTTTTTTTTATTTCTCATTTTTACCAGCGTTAAAAATGCTACTAGTTTGCTAATTTAAACAACTTTGTATTTTTACTAATAACAAAGTTACCAATGGTGGACACTTAATTTGGATAACCCTGTATAAAAAAAAATTCTCTATTATTGAAAGTGTTTTCGGCTTTTTGGTAATCTTTGGGATTGGTCAAAATATAGCGCTCAAATAGACGTTATCTCGATATTTTCCACGCATTCATATGCAATAAATTTAAAATCCCGATATTTTAAAAAGTTCTTCAAGTATTATTATTAGTATCAATATACTATATAAAAATGGGACCTGTTAAATTTTATAGGCCCATTGCATATTTTAAACCATGTCCTAAAGGGACTAGCAACTTGAAAAACGACGGATAATAAATATTGCAAATGTTGAAATTTAAAAAAAACATACGACTTTGCCTGAAAATTTTCAGCTCTTGGTAGAAAAAAGAAAAACGGTATTTGAGAGCGTCTGAAGCCTTATGAATCATAACTTCGACGATTTTCAAAAATGGAGTAGTATTTCCTACTATATGATTCAACTTCCTACATTTCAAATTTCAGTTAAATTCAAGCAGCCGTTCCTAAAATTATACGGTTACAAGAATAGCGCGGAGGGACAGACCGGTCAACGGTCTCTTTAATAACAGTATCAAAATTTGTATAACGCATAACCCGCAACGAATTTTATATTCGTAGTTGTTAGTTTGAGCGAGTCTACTTGACGTCGTTTTTTCATGCCAGAGCCGCCTATTTTTCGGACTTACATTCAAATTTAATGTCAAAGCCTCTTAATAACCCTTAAAATAATCAAAATTCAAAGGATTTTATATTTTATATTCGTATGTGGGAGTTTGAGCGAGTTTACTTCACGCATTGTTTTCATACCAGAGTCGCTTCTTTTCCGGACTTAAATCAAGTTTAATGTCAAGGTCTCTTTAATAACTCTTAGTATCAAAATTTGTATGTGCATAACCCGCAAAGAATTTCATACGTGGGAGTTTGAGGGAGTCTACTTGACGAATTTTTTCATTCCACAGTCGCTTATTTTCCGGACTTAAATTCAAGTTTGATGTCAACGTCTCTTTAATAACTCTAAATAGTATCCAAATTTGTATGTGCATAACTCGCAAAGAATTTTATATTCGTACGCGGGAGTCTGAGCGAGTCTACTTGACGCATTTTTTCCTTCCAGAGTCTCTTGTTTTCCGGACTTCAATTAAAGTTTAATGTCAACGTCTCTTTAATAACTCTTAACAGTATAAAAATTTGTATGTGCATAACTCGCAAAGAATTTTATATTCGTAAGTGGGAGTCTGAGCGAGTCTACTTGCATTGTCTCATACCAGAGTCCCTTATTTTCAGGAGTTGAAGTCAAGTTAAATGTCAACGTATTCTTTAATAACTTTTAATAGTATCAAAATTTGTATGTGCATAACTCGCAAAGAATTTTATATTCATACTTGGGAGTTTGAGCGAGTGTACTTGACGCATTTTTTTTATACCAGAGTCTCTTATTTTCAGGAGTTGAAGTCAAGTTAAATGTCAACGCATTCTTTAATAAGTTTTAATGGTATCAACATTTGTATGTGCAGAACTCGCAAAGAACTTTATATTCGTACGTGGGAGTCTGAGCGAGTCTACTTGATGCATTTTTTCATACCAGAGTCTCTTGTTTTCCGGACTTCAATTAAAGTTTAATGTCAACGTCTCTTTAATAACTCTTAACAGTATCAAAATGTGTATGTGCATAACACGCAAAGAATTTTATATTCGTAAGTGGGAGTTTGAGCGAGTCTACTTGACGCATTTTTTCATACCAGAGTCTCTTATTTTCAGGAGTTGAAGTCAAGTTAAATTTCAACGTATTCTTTAATAACTTTTAATAGTATCAAAATATATATGTCCATAACTCGCAAAGAATTTTATATTCGTACGTGAGAGTTTGAGCAAGTCTACTTGACGCATTTTTTCATACCAGCGTCGCTTATTATCCGGATTTCAATTCAAGTCTAATGTCATCAGGTTCGGTTTTACTTTCGGGCGGTAGGGAAACATTCCTCTCAGGAACAAAATTTCGACGCGGTTATTTTCAGGAAATAAAATCCCGCATAGCTCGCAGCTATACGAACCTTTTTCAATCTCAGAGTCGTGAACGCAATCCTACGATATAATTGCTTTACAGCGTGGCAAAGAAACCAAGGTATTTCCGGCTAGGTACTTCCGGCGCTACAAGGAGATAAACTACCTCAGACGATCTCGGTCAGACGTCAACATTCAAATTGAGCTTTATAAAGGACAAATCTTTATTCTAGTTTGTCATTTAAGATACCTACGAAAAACTGAGAATAAGCAATTTTTCTCGAATAGTTCAAGTGGAAAATAGTCCGGTTAATATAGACTGTTATCAATTTGGTGTTTTTAAATTTATTCTGAAAAGCCAGGAACCAAGAATCTTTGTGTTAAGACAAAGAAAAACTACATCATAATACCCTTTAATAGTGGCGAGCACCAAATAAGATAATTCAAAACTAAATTTGTTTGCAGCTGTAAACGAATAAAGTTGGTGGATTCGTGAGTTGCATATACGAATTAAAGTAGAAAGTAGAAGTATGTAGCCACAATATTGGAAACTCCATTTCATCGTTAATATCCAGAACAGATGAAGTCGCCTATTCTGAATGTTTTCATAATTTTGCCTAAAGCAATCTTGGAGTGACATGTCCAACTTTCATAGTCATGATGTTTTAGAAACCGTGAATTGTCATCACAATGTAAAAAAGTTGAATTTTCAATTATACATTTTGAGCGATGTACAGCAGTCTATGAAAATAAAAGTTTTGGCCTTCCAAAGTAAATTAATTATAAAATACTCTTCAGGATCTTGTAGATGAAGATTCTAACTTTAATTTTTATACTTGGTGATCTGAAAAATTATAATTTTTAACCGAGTTTTTGAGCATTGAATACATTCATTTTTAGGTCAATTTTAGAGAAAAGAAAATTTACCTGAGGCCTCTTTTATTCAGAATAAAAGAACCTGAAAAATACGTGTTGTATCGAAAAAACACTTTCTTGTAAGTAATTAAAAAAATGTCTAAACTTGATCCGAGTTCACCTTGTTTCATGTTAAGGATATTCAACATATGTACGTGCTTGTGAAAAAAAAATGGGTTTGGAAACCAAATGAGAGGTTTTCGTCTCGTGTAATATGTAAAAAATGATGATCGTGGAAGCCATCCATTGATCAGTTTGGAATAAGTATGTTAACTGTAGCAGACAAACAAGTTCTCCACCTTTTCACTAAATTTTCTTCTAAAGATACAAATTCCATAATCAGCCTACCATACATTTAAACTCGTCTGCCATAATCTGGCAATGCTCCTAATTTAAAAAAAAAATTCCTTTTTCCCTACGGCGATTTTTCTTCATTTTGAACCAAAGGGGTCTCAAATAATTTTTTTATAAACTTGACCATTTTCGAATTATAAGCGATAATGTCTTAAAAGTCCTAAAAATGGACATATTCGATGGTTAAAGACAAAATTAAAAATTATGATTTTCAAGGTCGCCGACTGTCTACATTAAAGTTAAAACTTCAAGACGAAGAGTATTTTCAGATCAGCTTATTTTAAAGCGATTTTTGAGCCTGTTTGTTAGGCCAAAATTGGCGAACGTTTAATTTTGACAGACTGTACATAACATTTTAGTTTTCTTTTTAATACTTTTTGAAAATTTTAAAGTAGCGGACCACAAAGGATAATTGTCAATTTGCCTTTGAAAAACGGAAACCTAGCTTCCCCGTGCTCACTTAAGTTAATTTACATAAGTAGTTTGGTATTTTCCAGTTATAGAGAGAAATGAATACAAAATATATGGTGTGTTTTAAAAGATAGTTCGTCCTCAAAGTAAGTACAAATTTCACTTTTGTAGTATTTTTCAGTACCTTTGAAGCGATGTGATTAAAATAAAATTTGGAATTTGAAAAAAAATAAATATGGTTCTTTCTAAGAAAATCATCAAATACCTGTTTTTCTATTTTTTAGACGCAAATTAAAGTATCTCCAAAAGATACGGTATGACTATTGAAGCTTTAAAAAGAGGGATAAACTGCTTGAGTTTAAAAAAATTATACACGAAACATGTTACTCATAACGATATCTAATCTCAAACTAAAAAAAAAAAGATAAAAATGATGCAGTGTTTCTGGGTGTGTAGCTAAAATAGACGCTTTGGAAATTGTTCCAGAACGTGATTAGTATTTGTAACGTCCGAAGAGCTCAGATCCCCCGCTCCACCACCTTATATACTGCACTGGATATCGGATATTTTCTAGCCTAAGGCAAAACCAGCAAATATTAATTTAGAAATCGGGATTGATTCCTGGAAGAATAGTTTTGTCAATAATGAGGATGTCAGCTCCATGTGATTGTCAAGAACGAACCAACTGAAGGAAAACATCGATAAAATAGTAAGAAGGGTTTATATTTCGTCGAAGAAAATACGCTGGCATTGCAAGCTATGCATCAACGATTGCTTAGCTTCTTGGGAAAGTTAATAAGAATTTATGTTGGCTGTCGATTTCAGTGTTTCTGTAAATGTTTGATATGGTGTTCAATAACAATGTGGTCTAGTTATGACTGAACTTAAAAGTATAAAATTTAGCGACGGAACCTACCATAACCCTAAAATAGTATACCAACATTGAAATTACTGAGATTATAATTACAACAGGAAAACATACTATATGTCTTACCGGATTAAGTGTGTGCTTCTTAACTTTGGTTTTTCTCTTGCCACTCTTTGACTTGTCGGGCAGAAGATACACCTTGACATAAGGATCTGACCTATTCCTTTTCGTATCCACCGGAGCCAAATCTCGACACTGTCGAACCTAGATGAAATCAAACAGAAGTTTATGAATTTCATGCCCACAATCCATTTGTTCAAAAACTTAGGATTAAAATTGGGTTTTTAAGGTGACACGTTCCTTCTTTTAGATTTTTTTTCAGCTACCTGTTTCTATTCTAAATCCTTTTCATCTGAAATTGCATGGTATGTATAGAGATGACTAAAAAACAATGTTTTCATTTATTTTTGTCAAAAATAACATTTTTTGTGCATTTTATTGTGCATTTTTTCTTCAATCGGAACTTCTTAACAAATATAAGCACAGCTCTAAAATTGTGTGTGAATATTCTTATTTTATGGAAGAATGACAAAATTCCTTACCACTTTTCCTTCTCGAAAAATCTTTGATTTTCTTGAAGCTTCGTCTCGCAGCAAAAGAAAAACTGATAAGAATAAAAGTAATAACTTCTTTCATTCATCCATAAAAGTGGAATATTCACGTACAATTCCACAGCTGTACTAATATTTGTTAACAAGTTCAACAATAAAATGCACAAAAAATGCATTTAATGACAAAACAAAATTAAAAACGATGTTTTATAGTCATCTCTATAAATATCATGAAATAATCAGATGAAAAGGATTTAGAATACTGTGACAAACAGGTAGTTGAAAAAAGAAGCGAAAAATATGGATGTGCGGCCTTAACACTGAACATACCAACACTAAATACATACCTATTTCTACCAAAACCGGTTGTGGTAGATTACGGTAAGTATACATGTCGTGACAAGTATTACTGAATATAAACAGAAATCTATTATACGATGTATATAATTTGTGCAATGCGAAACTTCACAACCGGTAACCTACGTGTCATATTTAAAGCCAAGCTAATGCGTCTTTTGAAGGTTCCTAAGGTTGAATCACAACACATATACTAAGTGACATATAAATCCGAACACCCAGTTTAAATGGTTTTATTTTAATAAAATTTTGTATAAGTACTTAATGAAGCATAATAAGTAAATGATAAAAAATTCAAAATGATTGCACTGCTTTAAAGCCCTTTGACCTTTAATAATGTGTGGATGCACCCTGATGGGCTACGCATTCTCCAACGCGCCTAGGCATGCTTCTGATCAGGTGGTCAATGTCCTCCTGTGGTATCTCATTCCAGGCAACCACGAACTCATCTCGAAGTGCTTCTAGAGTCTGAGGAGGACGTTGCAAATTGAGCAATCTCCTACCCATCATATCCCATACGTACTCAATTGGGGACAAGTCGGGAGATCTTGGTGGCCATGGTAACAATGTGACATCATTATGTTGAAAGAAGTCTATTGTGACTCTTGCTACATGTGGCCGGACATTATCTTGTTGGGAAGTTGGATCTGCCAGGGTGTCAAGATAGGGTAAAAGATGGGGTTCTAGAACTTCGTGGATATAACGCTGCGCGTTCATGTTACCTCTGATGAAGATTAAAGGTGACCTGGAACCATAAGCCATAGCACCCCAAACCATAACTCCAACAGTGTGATGAACATGTCTTTCAACAAAAAACTGTGGATTCCTCCTTTCACCACGTCGCCTTCTAACCCTGGCACGACCATCGTGCTTGCCTAAACAAAATCGAGACTTGTCACTAAAGACAATCCTGTTCCATTCCTGATCCCAGAGTAACCGTTGTCTGCACCACTCAAGGCGATTACGTCGGTGTTCTCGAGTTAAAGCGAGGACCCAGTGTGGCCGGTATCAAAACAAGCCAAAAGTTCTCATTCGTCGGTAAACACTTCGCATGCCAATAGGTCTTCCGTGTTCTGCAAACCATTCATTTGCAATGGACCTGGTAGTAGAGAAACGGTCCCTTAAGGCCAGTAATCTTAGGCGGCGATCTTCACGGTCTGTTGTTCTACGGCGGCGTCCAGTGCCCCTTGCTCTTTGCGTACGGCCTTCTCGAAGCCATGCCTGACAACACCTAACCACAGTGTCTACACTTCTTTGCACTCTAACTGCAATTGCCCGAAAAGAAAGTCCAGCTTCCCGAAGTCCCACTATACGGCCCCTATCAAACTCACTAAGTTGACGAAATCGTACAGGTCTCCGTACTCTAGGCATCGTAACCGATCATAAAGGATGTCAAGAACCAAAATCCGCCAACGTTGATTCTTTACTGCGGCTGAAATATTCATTTTTACAGCGTTAGTGAATTAAAAAAAAGCAGTATAAAAACCGGAATGTCCAACTGATAGGGCTGAAAATTTTTTCACTTGTTATTTATAGTAAGATAAATACATTCATCAACTTTTATTAAAATAAAACCATTTAAACTGGGTGTTCGGATTTATATGTCACTTAGTATATTAGAAAGAAATCTATACTCAACTATAATAACTCTTTCAAGTTGATTGGATACGATCAAAAGATTTTTGCATTAAAATATGTTTGAGCATATTTATTTAAATATTACAGAACATAAGAATATTAAAATTTCATTAACATACTCACTTTTATTTAAGCACTTGATTGTTCTTTAAAAGCCCAATTTTTGCAATTTTTGTATTGAAAATGTTTTTATATAGATAGCTATTAACTCAATGGAATAATTAATAATCATAGTATGTCAGTCTTATTTTTTAAAAATGGTCTATCCGGATATAATGCTATAAAACAAGAGCCGATCTATTTAAAATATAGCACGATGTGGCTAAAAATTGGAATACCCAATAAAGCTGAGTATTTTTAAAACGTTGCCTTAGATACCATATACATCAATGATTAAACAGTTTTTTTTACTTTTCGTCTAGGGGCGATGGCAGCAGGGCATACTCTTAGTCAAATAGTAGAGAAGGATCGAATCTTGTTTAAAAAAAAAAATGATTACTTATATTCCCTATCGCTCTAGAAAAGTCGACTTTTGATCAATCATTTTTTTTTTCACTCAACGTCGCAACCTCGATACGGCAATCCAGCGTCTGATACGCACAATCAACTCTATACTGGACCTGAAACGGGTGACTTGAAGACGCTCTGTGATGAGAAAAGACCTTAAATAAACATAGATGGTAATAACTCACCTGAATTTCAAGAGCTGAAGCCTTGTAATTGTATTGCAAGCCAAACTCGACCTGGCCACGTACCGTTACAGCCCCGTATCGTCCTTCCCCACCTGCGCCACTGTACACGCTTGCCAGAGATTCTGAACGTACCTGGAAACATTCAGAAAAAGATATATTAGAATTCCATCCAAATAATACGTACATTCATATATGATAGCATATTACACATTTTATGCCGAGGCATCCGCGAAGGCAGAAGCCTAAATACCGGGGTATCTCGGCTGCTGTTAGGAACTTAAAGGAATTTTATTAATCCAATCCCAGGTCAAAAAAATAAAATTCATCAGAAATTGGAATGAAAAATCGCCATATTAAAAAATCACCAAGGATTTTAAAAATTAATTTTTTAAGATGTATGACTAGTTGTAAACGAAAAAAATGTTTTTGTAATGTCGGTGTACAACTTGATAATTACATTGTTTAATAAAACACAATTTACTATAAATTTCTTGTTACTGTGGCGAAAGCAGTAAAAAATTATTTTATTAGCTCCTACCTAAGACTCAATTTGAAGTTTTTGTATGATTCTTCTTAATACCCAGATCAGCACTATTATAACAAATCAATATAATACATAATACTTGTGTAAAATATTGTAAAGTAAATTAATAAATATCTAATATGTAAGTAGAAATAACCCATGTAACAGTTTTGTAATAATTCGAAACACAAACGATCTAATTAAATATTACATTTTTTCAAAAATGTCTACATGAATATTTCTGATTACAAAAAAATCCATACTTACACTTCACAGAACTGACTAAATTAATTTATTTTATACATATCAATGTTGTTTAGTGATAATATTTTATTTGGTACATCAAAGTTGTAGCAGGTGTTTGGATTAATGAATCTTTTAGTATGCACCTAATGTTGTTTCACCCAGTTTATTCCCAAGTTTAATTTTATGTAACGTAAGGGGTAAAATAAGTAATGATTTAACAAACTTGCCCAATTCGTGAAACACCTTAGAATCGTATTCTCTTTTTAGCAGACACACTGTTTTCCAGAAATCTGTAGAATCCACCGTAAAATCTATGTCGAAATTTTTCAAAAGTCTATATACAGGATGATTCACAAGTCGTGACCAAAAATGAAACATCATACACAGGACCACACTTTAGGGGGGGTTCTTCTATGTAACATATTCTACTCGCGGGCTTCATGAAAAAGATACGGGGTTGAAGTTTAACAATAGAATTTTTTTAATATCCTCATAACCGTCAACTGGATTGAACTAAAATTTGGTATGTGATTTTAGGTATTGACCACATTCAAAAGTATTTACTTGAAATTAACATGCACCATCGGTGGCGGAGATACAGGAGATCATTTGCATTATTTTTCCAAATAAAAATAGTACGACACCGGTTTTTCGAAACACGCAATTTTTCAAATTGTACCTTCAATTTGCTACAAATAATGACTTATGTATTTTTTCTAGACTGCTTTCGTAAAAATAAAAACAAGTTAGTAAAAACCTTTCGAGTGGCCGCTAAAGCCTTTCTATTACAGAACTCGTACACAAAAATAATATCGGCGTATTCATCATTGCTAAATTCCATTGCACAACACTCAAAAATGGAGAAAAGAAACGTTTGACTTGACTTTTACAAAAAAAAAACTGGTAGTAGTAACGATAACAACCGTATAACACATAACTTTGACAAACGATCTCCCAAGAAACGTCAAGTTGGTATCAAGGCCTCCTATTTCATTTTGAAACCAATTCATTGTGTCTCGGCTCTAGGAAAAAACGCGTTTCGAAAAATACAGTGGCGTACTATTTTTATTTGGAAAGATATTAAAAAAATTGTTTTTTATTTTTAAACTGCAACATGAAGCCCTGGAGGAAAAAATGTTAGATAGAGACTCCCCTTAAAATGTGGTTCTGTGTATGATGTTTCATTTTTGGTTACGAATTGTCAATCACCCTGTACACTCTCGAATTCATTTAAAGCAGAAACTACGCGTGGAAACTCTATTGCGACATTACCGATGCTATCAATAATAGAAATGCTTGATGGTTGCAAGTAACGTAAGTAATAATTTTAAAATTGCTATTTCCTTGGTATTAAAAGGAAACCTTGTACATAATTGTTGGACTGTTTCTATGAAAAACTCTAATCACTTTAATTGGAAGGAATTCTTTCGGTAGCTGAAATATTGTCAAAAATATTCAAAATCGATGAAATTTTGAAAATCATCAGAAATTGACAGCAGATTATTAATAAAATCACCAGATCCGGTGGAATTTCACCAAACCTGGCAACACTGCTGCACAAGGTTAGTAGAACTGGAAAAAGCCTCCTCAGGCAGATCGTTCAACAATCTCAACACCCTAGTGACAAATGAGCGGTTTTGGATGTACGAGGAGAAACTCTGAGGAGCAAAGCCCTTTGACATAGCGGTAAAAGACCCAGATCGCCGACATCCCGTCGGAGCGAAAGGTTCCCGAGACTGTCCGTTGGAGATAAATCGTCGATCAGTTCGGCAGCCCTACTCACAAACATGACGAAACTATCTACTTCTAAAACAATTTATTTTCTGAAAAACGTTTTAGATACACTCTAGTCGTAAAAAATACATATTTGAAATCACTTAGACCTATAACTAATCGAACATCTGAACAAATAAACAATGTGCGAATAAATGCGCGAAGTTAAAAAAGCAACAATTGAAAGATTACCATTACCGAATTTTCTCACTAATAACCCTTCCTCTATCCATTTTGAAAACCTCAACTACCCAAAACTATTTTAAACGTATTCTAACAGCTGTGATTAATAAAAACAATTGTCATGGCTTTTATTTTTCACAGCCACCTATGCGTTATAGACTTATTTTGCATTGAAATGAAAATAGGTTGATATGCTGTAATTGCAACATGTGTTATTTTTATGCTGCAAATTTGATTAGGGAGTGATAAAATTGGTGTTTTCTACTATATGTTATCAAAATATTCATTGTTAATATTTTAAACCTATAACACCCTGCTACATTTTTATTATTTGTGTTTGATAAGAAAAAAACTAAGATTTCAATAGTTGGGCCAACAGAAGTGGGAAGGGGCTCGTAGATAATGTAAGTCTGGGCGGCAGCACCCCAAATATTTTTGTGAGCAGTACTATAGGATAGGTATTATCTGGTCCTTGTACAGTGAGGATAGGAAATCTAATATTTCAGGACATGGATTAAGCAGAATGATGCGCCTGTGCTTAGATCTACAAAAGCCCAAGCAGGGATTATCACATCCAAAATACTATTTCTCCTGACAAAACCTCTGACTTGCATCAATATTTAATCGAAAAAAAAATTGCGCTCTTTTCATATGAACGTAAGAGATACTGTTTTCTGGCGTTATCATTTTCATTTTCTGATAATAGCTACCCACTGACCTGATCTATCCAGTAAAGACGTGTAAGTGTAAGTGCCGTTGGAAGTAAGCAGGTACTTCGTTGCCCATTTCACGACACCATAAGATTGTCTGACAATAAATTTTGGCATAAAAAGAGCATATAATTTTGTCTTTGCTACGTTATCAGTTTATTATCGGATTCCTAGTTTCGGTCATTATAAATGCTATCATTCCAGAGTAGAGTGGAGTTAATAAACTTTATAGTGTATCAGTTTACTGATCCATCTAATGATTAAAGTAATAACTGATATAATGGCAGCATAAAATCTAAACTTGGCCATTTTGGCTCTTAATGTCTGGAAGGTTACTTGTAATGGATACTCCTCAATAATAAAGCATGGGTAATGATGGACACTTTGAACTTTATAAAGCCTATATACAATCTTGTTGTAAAATCTGAATCAATAAACTAATTTTCACTATCCCAAGATTGTCACACAGGTAACTGACAGCAATTTCAATTCTTTCTTTCCCTTAGCAGCGAATAACAACAGGTATAACAATAAATACAGTTTGCTCAGGATATCTGTGTTGATGAAAAGAATGCGGAAAAAAATCGGGTTGTTATTTGGTTGTTGCCACGTCTAATCTTCCGTATTGTTTATCTTGGTAGTTTTCATGTTAAATTATAAACGAATTGTAGATTTGGCAAACCCTATAACAGGTAACAATTTGAACACTTATTTAATAAAAAGTGATATTTTTGAACAAATTAAGATAAATAAAGGTTTTTGTTCAAAAGCGAATCGACTGATTTAAAAAAATCAAACGACAAAGTAAAGGACTTAGAAAGTCCTTTCAATTAGGCTATTACTTGATACCCCTTGTCAGTTGAATGTTTTAAGGGAGTGACCCTGGGGGGCCGAGGGTGAAAGACCTTGACAAATCTTTTGAAGTGTCTCGGCGTTTTTTATTTTAATCTGTAAATTATTTTATCGATAAATCCGTGGTGGAATGTTTTCAAATGAACACCCACTGTATATGGATATTTCGAAGTAAAATTCCACAAAGAATCCAAATTCAGATAGAGCGGCTCGTTAATCCATCTCTTTTCGAAAAGGTTGTGGATTTTTAGTTCTGGATTGCCAGCTCAATAAAGCCGTGAAGAATTTCGAAAGAAGCTCACTTTTGACTGAAAAAAATTTGTGGATTTTTTTGCTCTGGACTGCCACCTCGACAAAGCCGTGAAGAATTTCAAAAAAATATCACGTTTTTGTCTGAAATATCTGCGAAAGAAATCATCAGATCGCAATTTGGAGATAATTTTTTGTTCCTTGGACACGTTTACTGTGCCTAGTGCGTTCTATATGTATACACGACTAGCAAGAAAATGGAAAAGTTGTTAGAAAACCTATAAACTTTGAATGCGTCTCCAAACCGAACTGCTCGACCTACCACATCGTTGCATGCCTCTACAGGTACTCTTCAAAAAGGGGACAGTTCGAGCAATTCGAAGTCCCGAGCACAAAGTGGAAAACAAAAGTTTGTATAGAGAAATAATACAGGGTGTAAACGTTGTGATAGTTGTTATTTAAATGGATTATAGAGGGGGTTAGAAGAAGCAAAAAGTTTCATATAACATGAGGGTCAAAACGGCATTTTTTTTAGAGAAAAGAGACTTTAAAGTAAAATAAAATCTGATAACACCGCAATGCCAGACGCAAATTACGACGGAACGCAGTGTAAATAAAGATGGAGTGTTATGTTTGGTTCTTAGGTATTATTTCATTATTTTCACCGTTCTTATGTGATTGAGAATTTAAATATAACCATAAATAATAGTAGATTAAAATACTGTGATAAAGTTAAAAACATAGGCTTAACAATGGATTATAATCTGAGGTTTCGTGAGCACATATCACACTGTATCAGAAAATCTTATCTGGCTCTAAAATTATTGTATCCTCACCAAAATTTTCTCAATTTAGACATCAAAAGAATTCTTTGCGAAACCTTGGTTTTATCACAGTTTTCGTACTGTGTTCCAATTTATTCTGCATGTTTAGATTGTGATACATTCATGCGAATACAGAGAACACAGAACTCATGCATACGTTTTATACAGGGTGACTTCGAAGTTGAGTCATTTATTTTAACAGTGAGTAGATCTGATCAAAGAAATGCTTTTTTCCTGTAACATTTTTCTGGTAAAATTAAAGTCACAAAGTTATAGCCCTTTAGAAGTTTGAGTACCGCCCTGTCTCAATAATAATATTATGTGCTCGTGTTTGGCAACAACGGATATAATCCGCCTTATTCGTTCATCGCATCGGAAACAAAAAAGCGAAAGAATTTGAAACGATGTTTTTACTACAATGTACAATTTTATTCAGTTGTTTTCCGTCAATGTGTCAGTCGGTAACGCGTGAGTGAATAGTGGTGTTTGTTGCGTGGCTTAAACGGAATAAAAAATGCACATGTTTACGAAAATGCTCAACTTGTGGACATGATTCTTATTTACGGGGGGGGGATCGGTTTCCCAATCGAGTGCAACCAACCCCTCGTGCCTTTGTTAATGTAGTACAAAGGGCTCGTGAGTCAGGTGACTTAAGACCTCACAGGGGAGGGCATGCCGGTGCTCCACGACCGCACGATCAAATACAGGTCCGCACTGAAATACTTGTCGGGAGGATACTTTATAAAACAAGGTAACATTTTTTTAATTTTTATTTTTACACACATATTTTGGTTTATCTTCCTTCTACAATCATTATCTGAAAATTAATGACTCAACTTCAAAGTATATGGCATAAGAAAATTTGAAAGAGTTAGTCATAAGCTGAAAGAACTCCGGGGGCTAAATATGAAGGCTCGTTTTGAGATATTCACAATATGCTTTTATCATAAAATTTTAACTCTCAGGCAGCCTCATTATCTCTACGAGAAAATAACATTCAGAAAAGACATCCATTCCATAAATATTCGTTCGAAACAAAACATTACCGCTCCATTCCACAGAACTAAATTTTATGGAAGATCATTTACGTATAATATATATAAGTAGAATTATTCTTACTGCGGAATTTTAATTTTATTTTGTTTGCATTCCATTATTCTATTTATATTTTTTTTTCATATGATGCATAATGTACGTATATGTATTCATATATCATTCTAGAATTTTAAATTTACCACCACGTTTTCTCTTTGCTCTTTTTTTTTCAAACTCAATTGTCGCTCATATTGGCGTTTGTTTATGCGGTATGTATGGGTATATATATATATCTATATATTATTCTAGACTTTCTTTTTTTTAAATTTATTACCACAATTTTCTATCTCATTTTTAAAAAACTTACATGCTGTTCATATTGATGTTTGTACGTATATATGCTTGATGGATGTATTTACTGGCATAATGTTTCTTACATTTTCAAGGGGTGAGTGGAAGAGCACTAGATAGTGAACTCCCCGTTGCAGTTTCAGACACTCGACATTTGTTTAATTTTATTTTATTTTCCTTTTTTGTTGGTTAAAAATCATGTTTCTTTTTCTGATCTTTTTTTTTGAGAACTGTTTGGAAATTAAGGCATTTATTATTATTATTATGTACTCGTAAAATGCAAACAATTAAAAAATAACGGACTTACCACTAACTGTCTCAGAGCTTCACCTGATGTGTGAAAGTTGATTGAACGTATTAAAAAAAATCCACTTATAAATAGGGTACACAATTTTGATACATACATTGTTTTTCTTTTTAAAACCCACAATGCACTTTTTTTGTATTTAAAGAAGGTGTTTAAAATGTCGTCCCCCACTTTCCACACAAGCTTCATTACGATGAACCCAGTTTCTTCTTACTCTAGGTTATCGAAGTTGTCCATTTATTATTTCAGCCGCATTAAAATTTTTTTCGCGGAGTTGTGCTTCAGTTGTTATTGGACCAGCCCCATAAACCATCCCCTTAAGTTCTCCCCAATACCAAAAATCCATCGGATTGAGGTCAGGAGGTCTTGCTGGCCATTTTCGAGGATCAGAAGCATTTCGACCAGCGATTTGGATAATGTTCATTCAAATACTGAATGTCGCCTCTAAAAATGTGTGGTGGTGCACCGTCATAAAGAAACCACAAATTCTGTCTCCGTTGTAACGGCATGTTAAACACGACGACGTACGCGAACAAAAACAAAACATGCCCGATGCTATGCAAAACGATAACTAACCACTGTTACCGTTTGCGATCGATTGCCGTTTCGATAAGAGTGATGAAAGACCCACGCGCTGTTGTCATGTGTGTTTTAAATATTTAATTAAACTTTCTTACTGACTACAAGTTTTGGCTGAACTTAGAAAAACTTAATGCCATTTATTTGTTAATGACCCAATTTAAAAACGTTTTAGATTAGATTACAAAAATTAGTAAGATTGTGATGACTGTGGTCGATATAAAACACTTAAACTGTAAAGCTATTTAGACAAAAATCTATTGACTTTTGGACCATGGGTCATATAAACTGTTTGACTTGTTTCAACCCCCCTCTATTACCCATTTCAATAATGACTACCATAAGGTTTACACCCTGTATATTGGTCAGCTTCCTTTGTAAATTTTTTTCAGAGCTTAATGCCAGCATACGTGCTCTCTCCACAATTAAACAGAGCCCTATCTGAGATATAGCCTGCTAAGTCGGGTCGTGTAACTCTAGTTTTGACCCTAATCCTGTTGTTATCTACTGTCTACTCGTTATCTTGACTGCATTGTTTTGTTCGCCGAGTATCGTGAAAATACGTCATGGTACGCATGCAACAGATGGTATGTTCCGCCTCCGCAGCAAAAACGTGACCGGTTGCTCCATGAGCGTATCAGACGCGGTCCATAAAACAGGATTGGAAAGGGAATTCAAGAGAGATGTATAAAAGTATTTGCACTGAAGTTGACATGAGGTGATCCATCAAGAAAGAAGTCGAGTACAAGGAGGTGTAATAAAATGTACACCCATATCAAAGAGTAGTTATACTGCAGCTTAAATAGCAATCAACTATGAAAATCTCCTGTCAGTGTCAAAAACGACCACAATTTCGGTGGAGAAAATCGCATATAAACTCTTCTAGTACAACGATGAGAGGTTTTAGTGCTCCGTGTACAACAGTCCTGGCCGTTGTTGCCACGTGCCACCAGCGGCCGCAGATTTTTTTTGCGATCGTAAACATTATAATATTCCGATATGATCTAGTGTATAGTGTATTTACACCCAAGATAGAATGGATGCGTGATTGCCAAAAGCAAGGACGGCGTACAGAGCCGCACTCAGGGCTACCTCCGAATGATGGACTACCACCAACGTGTTGTAAAACAAAGATGACAGTATTTAACAGGAACAGAAACTTAACAAATTACTCAAATACACTTAACAACAACAACGGCAACAACCAAGCAAGGTGAATACGAAAACACGAGCACGCAGTGATACACGCGACGGACGGTAACCTGAGTGCAACTCTGCCTGCCCTGCCCCTGCCCCGCGCATTATTCCGCCAGGCGGCCGCTTGAAATCTAATGGCGAATTGACCAATAAGAGGCGTTGTCCCCACCTGTTCCCGAGAGATCACGCGCTAACTGTTATTATTTACATCTCATCTTGAATTTGGATTCAGTTTAGTACAAGGATGAGAGGTTTTAGTGCTCCGTGTACAACAGTCCTAGCCGTTGTTGCCACGTGCGACCAGCGGCCGCAGATATTCTTTGCGATCGTAAACATTATAATATTCCGATATGATCTAGTGTAGTTTGCGAGAACTAATAATAAAGAAGAGATAGAGTATTGATAAAAATTTAGCTACTGAAACTCGTTTTATCAAAAAGTTCGTTACTTTACCTGCAAAAATGACTGACACGCTGTCCAAGTTCAGTGTTTTTTCATAACCCCAGAAGTAGCAGTGCAAACCGTATTATAGTATGTTATATCAAACGCCTTCTTTGAATCACCCTGTGGAGAGCGATATATTCTAGAAGTAACGAGTGTACAGCGTATTTCACAACTTATCCGACAAATTTTAACCACATACGCACTGTTACGAAGAAGTTGATTTCTCAAAAAAAAATTAATATACTCGTAAGTCCTATAGAAATTAATTTAGTGTCAATAATAAATTGAAAAATAAATATCTGTATTATGCGTTCATCGTCGTGATATTAGAACACGCATTAGTAATTTATTGTAGCAAATGTTGTACCAAACAACTGACGAAAACAAAATACCAGGAAGTTTTTGTTTTTTCATACTGATAAGAACGTGTAAATAAGGTTTAATCTGTATCGTGGGTGATATGAATGAAGAACGGTCGACTTTTGTGAAGTTAAATAAGAAAGTATTTTGAGAGTTTATGTTTTTAGTTATTTATTAAAAAAATAGCACACGCGTACACGTTACTGGACAATGTTTTAGCGTACGGAGAAGCAGGGCAAAATTCGCGAGCGGCACACCGATTTCCGAATAGGCACATACCACATCACGAAACATTTAGTTCAATTGTTTTATTTGCACGTGCTAGTGGAGATTTGCGCCCCAGACGTGGAGTGGATGGGGATCGGGTTCGCCTACAACGAGTTTTAAATGCCGAAGACGAAATTTTGAACATTGTAGAAGAAAATCCGGGAATCAGCACAAGGCAGTTAGCCCAACAGGCCCCAGAAGTGTCACATGCAATAGCGTGACGCATATTACATGAGGCACAACTGTACCCTTATCACTTAGAGAGAGTCCAGGCGTTGCTACCTGCAGACTACCCCTTAATAGTAAGATTTTGTGAGTGGTTGTTGAAAGAAAATGCTCGAAATGCCAGTTTTCTTTAAACCTGTATGCAAGTATTGTCGACGAACGTCTAATTGGACCGTTCATATTGCGAGATCGGATGGATGGTCACCAGTATTTTCCAGAGTTTCATCGGAATGATTTGCCAGTCTTTTTTGAAGATGTGCCATTTTCGGTCTGTGCACGGATGTGGTTTCTGCACGATGGGGCACCTCCGCATTTTCGTTTAGAAGTTTTTTTTTTGGCATTAGAACTAGGTGTTTATGCAGCCAGTCACTAAGCATTATATGAATGATGGATCATCGGTTTGATTTTGGATTCATGTTTTTCCAAACTGGAAGTCTACTGTTATAGTGGGATGATGCTAGGGATCTTCACAGAGGACACTTCTTCACGCCTCAGGGGTCGGTCAGGGCGACTTCTTACACGTGCACAGGTAGACCACGGTAAGAGGAGGGATATAACAAATAGAAAGGAAACAAGGGTATGTGAGGTGATTATAGGTTTACATTGATTGAATGGATAAATTCAGCCAGGCTGTCGTAGATCTCCTTTCTATTTAAGCATAATAAATGTATGAGGTTAAAAGGAGTCAGTACATTTAAGTCTATTACTCTGTTTATTAGTCGCAGAGATTGATTCCTATTGTTCTGAAAACCGAAGAATAGGTGTTCGAGATTTCCAATTTCATTACATCTTGTGCATAGGTCAGTGTCCAGTACGCCAATCCGATTTAGATGCTCTGGGTAACATGCGTGTCCAAATCTGATCCTTATCAGTGTCGTTAAGGTTTTTCTGTTGTATTTGTATTTACTAAACCAGGTGTATCTAGGGATTTCGGGTTGTATTAATACATATCTATTTATTCTTGAGTTTTTATATTTCTCCCATATTGTTTCCCAATCAGTTCTCGTTTGTTTTTTTTGCAAATGAATATAATTATTCATCTATGAGAAGAAGGTGGTCCAAGATTTCTCCAGAAGTAATGCTTTCCCTAGCCAATCTATCAACCCTCTCATTGAGCTTAATTCCGACATGGGCTTTTACCCATACCAACTTTATTTTGTAGTTTTTGGCATTTAGTTTATGAAGGAACTGCTTTATTTTCAAGATGTATGGGTTAATATAAGGGTTATTTATGTCGACTGGCTTAGCTATTCTTTTCAAGACTGACAGACTGTCTGATATTATAATCCCTTTGATAATTACCTTGGAATCTAAGTATTCCAAGGCTTTGAGAATAGCAATGGCTTCAGCTGTGAATATAGATGTCAGGCTGTTCAATTTGAGTTTTGATGAATGTCCACTGGGTTGTGCAATAAAGGCACAACCTGTTCCTTTGCTGTCCTTAGAAGCGTCAGTATAGATTTTAACGTATTCTGGATAAGGATTCAACAGTTCTCTAAGACAGTTTTCTTCGGTAGAGGGGATGTAGTTTGGTAAAATTAAGTTGTGTTTCTCGAGGGAAATGAAAAATTCTTGAGAATTCCGGGATGATTGGTATTTAGATAAATTATCTATCTCTATTCTGGCATTCCTAAATGCTTCACAAACGGGGGGTGATTGTTTTTTCTGCCAATACTTATTGGTGAGGTCATGAGAGTTTAACGTGCTTATTTTTTTATTATATGGTCTTGCTTTACTTCGGAATTGATAAGTTGTTTTTTGACAATAATTGTCTCCTTAGCTGAAGAGGTGGTTCAAGGCATTCTACTCTGAGGGGTTCAATTGGAGTTGATCTCATTGCGCCCAAACAAAGTCTCAATGCACTGTTTTGTAGTGTATCCAATTTTTGTAAGGCTTTATGACTAGCAGAACCATACAAAGTGCATCCATAATCGATGATCGATCTGATGTATGAGCGATAGAATGTTAACGCTGTATCAGGATCTGCTCCCCACCACGTACGACGAATCATCTTCAGGAAATTAATACCTTTTTGACACTTCGTAACTATTTTGTCAATGAAAGGGTACCATGTTAGTTTATGGTCAAGAACAA